AAAAGTCAAGGTGTTTATTAGATTTTCAGCATTTGCATTGCAGCATACTCAAGGTTGCCATAAGCTGTAAGGTGACATTTATTTCAAAATCATGTTTCTCCATTCACTTAATAACAGTAACTCTGTATTGACAATATCAACAACAGCTAGGTGATAACAATTGAAAAACTTGTGACCTTGAGGGTATCATTTTGATATACTGTAATTATTCAGCTATAAGCCAAGTTATTTTCACTCAAAGTAAAGCTTCAGTTTTTTTATGCATGTGTTTTATGCAGGGGAACCTTTGTTAACTTTCATCTTTTCATTGCATAGCTTTTTTACAAATTTCATTTGAGAGAAAAGCAGATTTTAGTGTAAATTTATGCAAAATTGTTGGGTCTTTGTTATACATGTACATAAAGTCCAAGAATAGGTCTTGACTTATTCATGTTGGTTCACCCTTTAATTCCCAAAAGTGATGAATGTGTAATTTCTCCTTATAATGTTCATACATTATCCAGCAAACAGGTGATGAGAATGCTTCTCAATTAGAATTTTGGTTTATTTATAAGGAAATAAGTAGCAGCTAGAAGAGAGAATTAACAGCCATATCTTGGAATTTAAAGGGTTGAGTTAATTTTACACATTGGAAGTTTGGGGTCAGTTGGCTTATAGCCAAGGATATTGGTTACAGCCAAATACATTGTAAATGTGGTAACTCCAGATTCTCTGAGGTAATTGACATGGAATAATGTACATTGAACAGTTGGAGTGGCTCATAAAAAATCAAATGTTTGGAGAGGATGGCAAAAGGTTTATATGTACAGTAAACTCGTGATTAATGTCAAAATTAATTTGTGACATGTGAATTTTAAAGAAAGGCTAGCTCAATTTGTGAATTTATGAAGCATTTTGAAGCCTGATTTGCCTCCTATTATGAAACCATCTTATTTTTTCTATCATTTTGTGAAAACCTAAAGATTTCCCTGCCTGGAACCTTGCACTTAAAAGAGTGATATGAAATTTCCCTTTTAAATTTTTGATGCATGAAATGCTGTTTAAAGTATTGGTGAAACATGAATTTTTCTAAAATCAGTGTTTGAAATGGGATTGGGAACACCCTTTGCTTAAACTCAGCTCTTTGGAGTTATTGAGAAAGGGGTGGTGAAGTGTAGCAAAAAAGTCTTCGGTGTTTGGAAAGGGCAATTCAGTCCCAGAATATCTGAGTTCTTGATAGGAGAAATCTTTTTTGTGTTCCCTTTTTGTTTCTGATTTTGATATAAATATTGTCCTTTAGATGTAAAATGGTGACCTTCGAGTCTTTTTCTGCACAGTTTCTAAACCAGAACCGCGATCATTGGGAAGGGACTGCAGTTGTTAATGGAGAGTTCAAATATTTGAAGATGACTGATTCTAGAGGTAAGTTTTTTTTCTGTGAGCTCATAGATACAGCTGTAACTTGGAAAACTGAGAGCCATATGTGAAGGCCAATCACAGGTTTGTAAAGATCTTGTATGTGGCTACTGGTAATTCTGCCAGGAGCAGTTTGAAACTGTAATGCTTATAAATATTTTCCTTTTTGTATGTGCTATTATATAAACAGAGACCTCTGCCTGAGCTTGAATGAACACATATTTGTCAGTGCATGGGCATTGCCTGTTTGGAGATGCAGGAGGCAGATTCAGTCAAGTGACCTGTTGTGACCAAATACATCTAATGAAACATTGGTTAAAAATATTATTATCTCTTTCAAAAACCTTCCCCTTGCTCAATTTTTGGCATGTTTCTGTGATGTTTCTCATTATCTGTTAATGATTTGTCTTCTTCCAGTTTTTTCTACAGATTTTTGATAAACCTTCCCCTTGCTCAAATTCTTGCATGTTCACTTGATGTTTTTGGTCATCTGTTGATGATTTGTCTTTTCTTTCCAGTTTATTCTAATTTGTGTTATATTTATTACTTTTTCCTACACAGGAAAATATCTGGTGTTCTTTTTCTATCCCCTTGACTTGTGGGTATTAGATGTCGGAATACTCTTTGACTAAAAGTTTGCTGTACTTTGCTACCTTCATGCTATCCTGCCAAATTAGTCATCTCTCTGCAATTGCTACCGAGTAGTCAACATTGTTCTCAAGGTGACTGATATTAAAAGTTTCATTAATTGCATGCATATTATTTTAAATTGAATCATTACAAATAACACCTATTTGTTGTCATTTGCAGCACTTTTGTTTGTCCAACGGAGATCATTGCCTTTAGTGACAGAATTGAAGAGTTTAGGGCAATCAACACTGAAGTTGTTGGTTGTTCAGTAGATTCAGTTTAGTGTTTATCAGCTGTGATCCTCTTGGAATAATAAACATTATTAAACAAAGTGGAGGTGAAATAGCTGGGGATATTAACCGAGCTGCAAAGCAGCTAGGTAAATATCTACCACTTTCACCTACACTGAGGTAAATAATTATATTAGCATGTACACTGTATATACCACACAGAAATTAAAAAAATCAGTACATTTCTGTCAATATACAAAGAAATGGTTGGAAATTAAATTTTTGATGCATGATTCTGTTGCCTCGGCTGCTCGAAGGGGAAGAGTACTTGTTAATCACTTTCAAGCCAGCCAATCAGAGCACACAAAAAGCACTATTCATCTGTGTGGTATGTACCAAAAAAACTTATTTGATGTAATGATGATAATGATAATGATGATCATTTAATAGACCATATCTACTTGAACAAAGTATTTCATTATCTGCAATCTACCTATTCTTGATTTCTAAAAGCTGAACATTTCTTTGTTTGTGCTCCTTCCCTGGATCAAGATATCCAGTTTTGAGCACCTGACTGGCATTATCTTGTTGCATTGTTGGCTGTCACACCACATAGTTAAGAAAAACGTAACTCATATACTGAAGAGTCTCTCTTGGTCGGATGGTTTTTTCCCCTCAATATTACTACTTTTGAGTGGGAGCTGGGGGGAGGGGGGGGGGGGGAGATGTTCCCGTAATGGACATAACATCCATGGATTAAATACACTCTCAGACCAGGTCTGATCAGGTTGCTATACTTTGCTTCCTTCATGCTATATAACAGGTCTGATAGTTAGGCAGGGGAGATTTGGTTAAGGTGAGAATATTCTTACTTCTATGACCAATTTTACTAAAATTGGTAATGATTACATGCCTGTTGTTCTATTTCAGGGGTCTATTTATAATCGATGACAAAGGGACTCTACGACAGATCACAATGAATGATCTACCGGTATGTTGTAACTTTACATGTATGACTGTAATTGTACCGTGAATTTCTACTGCGAGTTTTATGTAGCTGTTTGCTTCTACAGTTAATTGTTCTTGATACGCTGAGAAAATTTATCTGTCCATTCATATAATTTGATTCGAGTCTGGCCCTCGTCCACTGTCACGTGGTAAAAATCTCAAGCTCATTGTTTAAGTGTTAAGCAGTGGGGATCCCTTTCCTTTTATTTTGTGACGTTTTTATTATTTCATTAGAAAAATAGCGATATTTCGATTTTGATTTGGACAAGGGAGAAAAAAAGCTGAGTAGATAGTATCAAGAAAAAAGGCTCCTGGTGTCCAGTCTCCTGATTTTTTTGCGGTTCGCGGTCTTTGGTTTTATAAAGTGTGAAGTACTATTTATAACTTAGCTACTCAAAGAAGTTAATCTAAACTGGTTATTTCGCAGGTGGGCCGATCAGTCGACGAGACTTTACGTTTAGTCCAGGCTTTCCAATATACTGACAAACACGGGGAAGTTTGTCCGGCCGGTTGGAAGCCTGGTAAAGAGACGATCATACCTGATCCAACAGAAAAGAAGAAGTACTTTGCAAAACAGACTGAAGGAGAAGATGAGGAAGAGAAGAAATAAACTGAACAAACTTTGGAATTGGAAAAAAAAACTGAGAGTTGTCTTAATTTAGGTGGCATTGTTTTACTTTGCATCCAGAAAAGTTACCAACGATTTGTAAGAAAACTTTTGGCGAGAATCGAGAAACAAATCTAACTTAAAGATAGATCTATGTAGTAGTCTCTTTAGTTGTTTTGTAGTGACGTTAAAGGCCTGCGCTTTTCTGTGCGCGTAGGATTGAGGTGGAGTAATGGTGAGGTGATTCCCTTGTTTTGTTCCTCCGATGAGTATGGCTATAGTGAATTATTAGACTTCTTGCTATTTAAAAATCACCTCACATACTCTGGTCAGTTACTCCACGAGTTCACTCTGAAACCAATTCTTTAACCCGCTCTCTTGCTATACATTTCCTACACTGCTGACAACGAGGATTTTGGCGATCATTCCCTTAATTCTCATGACCTAAATACTTGGCTCGGCTTGATACTGAAGGGAGACATTACATGATAGTAGCTCCGAGGGGTTAAAGAGTTGAAATGTTTCCCTAAGTCTAGGTGAGCAAGTCAATAGAACAAATTGTCAGTAAACAATTTTCAGTTTGGAATCGAAAAGCATTCGCTGTTCAGGAAATGAGCCCGCGCCCCTACCCTGAAATTTCGATAAGTGTCGGAAATCTAGCCCCGCTTATTTGGTGTGAAACATGTGAACCAGTGGTGAGCAAAAATACTTGGCTGCAATTTAAAAGCACAGTCATGGTCGCTAGCGGAATGTATCCTATTTAACAGGGTGGTAGGAAAAACACGGAGATTTCGTTTTAGACTTAATGACCTTTTAAGCTGACCGTTCTTTCACTCGAACCAGCTCCCCTCCTCCAAGTGAAATAGACGTGTGGTGTGGGTCTTATCCTTGTAATTTAACAGCCTGTTTAATTAATTGGGCAAAAGGAAAAGTTTAGACAGAGTGAAGGGGTGTAACAGAATATGAATTTCATAGTGTTCTAGTTTTCGTTCTTTCAGAAGTTCTTTTTACGCTAAATTTGCAATATCAAGCAGAAGAGTGATAATCTAAAAACATCGCCTGCTTTTTCACTCAATTTTCCGAGCGAAAACTGCGTGAAATAAGCAAAAACAGTAAGAAGAACTGAAACGAAGATCTGAAATGGATTTTAATTGGATTATGTACCAAGTAAATATCAATGGACTCCGTTTTTTCCACAGTTCATGATTTATGCCTGCTCTAGTCTTTTTGGATAGTACATTTCTTCCAAGCTGGCAAAGGCTTCAAGATTAAAAAATTAAGTTATCAATCCAGTGAGTCAAAATGTATCAAATGCATGTCCAAATGCATGTAAAAAAAGCAATCATATGTACAACGTACAACAAGTTAAAAATTCAAAGGTAAGATATGCCAAACACCAAAGGTTAAACTTGGTCTTAGGTGATGCTTGGAGCCATGAAATTGAAATACACAACTCACATGGCCATAAAGTTTCGTATTTAACTTATGATTTAGAAAACATCGCTGTATAATCCTTACGAAGACCATGTGAGATTAATTAAAAGGTTTTCTCGGCATAACTTGTCTTAAACATGGCCGCAACACCACTCAATCTCCGCAAAAAATCTCCTTTTAAAACTAAACCATTTGACTTGGCAGTTTATTATTAAATGATATGGTAACAAATCGCTTATTTGATTATAGCCTCAATGCGGGTTATTTAATGATTCAACCAGTTCAATTCAACGCCGCGTAACATTAAATTTGTCACCCCGCATGCCTCTGTTGGTTTTGATTGTCATTAGTCAGTACCAAACGCCTGGGGTCTCCTCTTGTCTTCAAACAAATCCATCAGTGATGACCTACAAGAAAAGTATAAGAGCCGCAAAATTGAACATTTTTCTTGAATTCCTCGAAAAATAAATTTAAGTGCCATGCTTTATTACAAAAGAAAAACTGCGAGTCTTTGGCATTAACAACAGGCAGTGCAATAAGTCAGCGAGAAACGTATTTTTCTGTTTTGTGTTATCCTTGTGCACCCTCTACCTCGGCTGCAGGAACGCAATGAAGATAAAAGACATGAAATTGAGTTTGACCTCAAGGAACAAAAAGGTGATAATTAACATCTCACTTTTCGTTGATTGAGCAAAATTAAAGGCATACTTACGATGGATACCTTTTAATTTCCGTTAATTCCAGTTTCACGTCGTCCCCAATGAGTACAAATGGCGCCCAGTAATACCCTTTGCTGAACGTTTCAGACTCTCTCATGCACTTCATGGCTTGATTGACAGCTTCACTAGTACCCTTGCCTTCTTCCAGCGCTCCGTAGAAATGTTTCATGAACTCCTGAGTACCATCGTCATCAATGGCCCACAGGGATACCAGAACCGATCGAGCACCGGCACCTAAGAACGCTCGCGCAATGCCAACCACACCTTCGGCCATAACCTCACCGCAAGCGCTGTGACAGCAACTTAGCACAACCAGTTTCGCTCGCAGCCCGGCTCGTAACACGTCTCTCATTGTCAGTAGATAGTCTTCCTCTTCAGCTTGACAGGTTGTCCTACTTGTGTTTGGTGCCAAGAGAATCTCTCCTGTTTCTTTTTTACCATGCGCTGCAATGTGAACCAACGCAACTGAGGAAATTCGTCTAAATACCTCTTCCTTTGTCGCCTCCCCTCCAACGAGAGGAGCAATACCGAGGATTCCTCCAATCATCTTCACCTCTTTCCTTGCACCCGGCAGCTGATTCAACAAATCACCCTGATAAAGGACTTGCTTGTAACATGGATCACCCACGAGCAGTGCACCGGTTTTATTGTGCAATTCTGTCGGGCAGTCTGAGATTGATTTTAAAATGGTTAGGGATGGAATTACTCGAATCCTGAAAGATTCGCACAGATACCTTGAATTCGAATCCACCAATGCTGCATAGGGCACCAAGCAAAGTGGACCTTCAGGAACAAATACAAGCTCATCTCCATCAATCAGATCTGCGATAGGAGCAACTATGATATCATAAAGCTTCCGCAGGGCATTTGTCGTCGCGTTTCGCGGAGAACCATCGCTCGTTCCTTTTTCATCTCGGCCCACTTGAGTTGAACTTTTTTGCCATTCAACAGCAGCCCTTGCACTAACTTGCAAGGAAGCAGCCTTATTCAAAGAGGTAATGTAAACTTCTAATTCACGTTGGTAAAGAAAGTTGTTCACATGCTTTATTCTCGATTGAACGACTTCCCCGTTCCGAATAGTCCACAAAGCAATGTAAGGTCCAGTAATTGCTAGGAAAACTACATCTGATGAAACGTTTCTTAATGAAAGACAATCAGAGCATTTCCTAGAGTTCGACCACGTGAGGGTTTGTCGAAAGCTATACTTTAAATCCACGATATCCCTTAGAGCTTGTGCACGTCCCTCCTCGGCAGCAAGAAGAGCTTTGACGTGTTCACCCTTCAGTAAAAGTACGCGCCAAACACCATTGTATGCTGTTTTGTGAACATTTCGATACGAAATCTTCCAGTTATGGTGCAACAGAAAACTAGCCCGAACGTTATTAAAAATCTCTCTACTAGAAATATAATAGTCGAGGGCGGTTTGGAGACATTCATGCCTTTCAAAATTTGTAGCAAGACTACAAAGAGCCTGGGCAATCCCATCCTTGTCTCCCACTTCTTTGGCAATTTCTAGACGACGTTTATGGTAGTCGATGGCTGTTTTGAACTGTCCTAGACCATCATAAGCATTGCCAAGGTTGCCATAACTCGCTCCTTCTCCAGCCTTGTCTCCCACTTCTTTGGCAATTTCTAGATGTTGTTTATGGTAGTCGATGGCTGTTTTGAACTGTCCTAGACAATGATAAGCACTGCCAAGGTTGCCATAACTCTCCTTCTCCAGCCTTGTCTCCCACTTCTTTGGCAATTTCTAGATGTTGTTTATGGTAGTCGATGGCTGTTTTGAACTGTCCTAGACTGTTTTGAATGATAAGCACTGCCAAGGTTGCCATAACTCGTTCCTTCTCCAGCCTTGTCTCCCACTTCTTTGGCAATTTCTAGATGTTGTTTATGGTAGTCGATGGCTGTTTTGAACTGTCCTAGACAATGATAAGCACTGCCAAGGTTGCCATAACTCCTCCTTCTCCAGCCTTGTCTCCCACTTCTTTGGCAATTTCTAGATGTTGTTTATGGTAGTCGATGGCTGTTTTGAACTGTCCTACTTCTTTGGCAATTTCTAGATGTTGTTTATGGTAGTCGATGAAAGCATGATGCATTGCCAAGGTTGCCATAACTCCTTCCTTCTCCAGCCTTGTCTCCCACTTCTTTGGCAATTTCTAGATGTTGTTTATGGTAGTCGATGGCTGTTTTGAACTGTCCTAGACAATGATAAGCACTGCCAAGGTTGCCATAACTCCTTCCTTCTCCAGCCTTGTCTCCCACTTCTTTGGCAATTTCTAGATGTTGTTTATGGTAGTCGATGGCTGTTTTGAACTGTCCTAGACAATGATAAGCACTGCCAAGGTTGCCATAACTCGTTCCTTCTCCAGCCTTGTCTCCCACTTCTTTGGCAATTTCTAGATGTTGTTTATGGTAGTCGATGGCTGTTTTGAACTGTCCTAGACAATGATAAGCATTGCCAAGGTTGCCATAACTCGCTCCTTCTCCAGCCTTGTCTCCCACCTCTTTGGCAATTTCTAGATGTTGTTTATGGTAGTCGATGGCTGTTTTGAACTGTCCTAGACAATGATAATCACTGCCAAGGTTGCCATAACTCCTTCCTTCTCCAGCCTTGTCTCCCACTTCTTTGGCAATTTCTAGATGTTGTTTATGGTAGTCGATGGCTGTTTTGAACTGTCCTAGACAATGATAAGCACTGCCAAGGTTGCCATAACTCCTTCCTTCTCCAGCCTTGTCTCCCACTTCTTTGGCAATTTCTAGATGTTGTTTATGGTAGTCGATGGCTGTTTTGAACTGTCCTAGACAATGATAAGCATTGCCAAGGTTGCCATAACTCCTTCCTTCTCCAGCCTTGTCTCCCACTTCTTTGGCAATTTCTAGATCTTGTTTATGGTAGTCGATGGCTGTTTTGAACTGTCCTAGACAATGATAATCACTGCCAAGGTTGCCATAACTTGCTCCTTCTCCAGCCTTGTCTCCCACTTCTTTGGCAATTTCTAGATGTTGTTTATGGTAGTCGATGGCTGTTTTGAACTGTCCTAGACAATGATAAGCACTGCCAAGGTTGCCATAACTCGCTCCTTCTCCAGCCTTGTCTCCCACTTCTTTGGCAATTTCTAGATGTTGTTTATGGTAGTCGATGGCTGTTTTGAACTGTCCTAGACAACGATAAGCATTGCCAAGGTTGCCATAACTCGCTCCTTCTCCAGCCTTGTCTCCCACTTCTTTGGCAATTTCTAGATGTTGTTTATGGTAGTCGATGGCTGTTTTGAACTGTCCTAGACAATGATAAGCACTGCCAAGGTTGCCATAACTCGCTCCTTCTCCAGCCTTGTCTCCCACTTCTTTGGCAATTTCTAGATGTTGTTTATGGTAGTCGATGGCTGTTTTGAACTGTCCTAGACAATGATAAGCACTGCCAAGATAAGCACTGCCAAGATGTTGCCATAACTCCTTCCTTCTCCAGCCTTGTCTCCCACTTCTTTGGCAATTTCTAGATGTTGTTTATGGTAGTCGATGGCTGTTTTGAACTGTCCTAGACAATGATAATCACTGCCAAGGTTGCCATAACTCCTTCCTTCTCCAGCCTTGTCTCCCACTTCTTTGGCAATTTCTAGAAGACGTTTATGGTAGTCGATGGCTGTTTTGAACTGTCCTAGACCAAGATAAGCATTGCCAAGGTTGCCATAACTCCTTCCTTCTCCAGTCTTGTCTCCCAGATCTTTGGCAATTTCTACTTCCTGGTTTGATGTAATAAAATAAGTTTTTTGTTCATCGTGGTGTAAGATAAAAGATGAAATTAATTCCTTTGTTTCACGATAGAGTCACTTTGGATGTTGATCGCGACGATTCCACTGCAATGCTGCTAGTCTTCATTGCTCTGACGCTCTGAACGTATGCCTTTTAACTCTGTACGGTGGCCAACTTACCCCTTAAGCCATTTGTAGTACGTTAGTCGGCTGCTATTGGTGCATTTCGATCCTCATTAGTATTCCGGTTGTTAGATGGTGTTCCCTCATAGGTCCTCTTTGATCGGCTATTGTGTTGTTTGATCGTGAGTATCCAAGCTTCGTGAATTTCGATTCCACTATCTCCACTGATGTTGTTGAGATGAAGTCTTATATGGATAGCCTCTTTAACCCTACGTGTGTACCAGGGGGGGATTCACCCACCAACCTCAGTCAGTGAAGCGTGGTATTGTTAAGTGTCTATTCGACGATCAGACACCACAACAGCCGATTAATGAGGACCTATGGGGGAACACCATCTAACAACCGGAATAATAATGAGGATCGAAATGCACCAATAGCAACGAAGCAACGCGCTACAAATAGCGACACGTAAACAAGCGACCTCACTGCCTAATGAAGACTAGCAGTATTGCAGTAGAAATGTCGCGATCAAACAAACGAATAAAGTTCATCTCCTTTCCTGGTTTGAGTTTCCCTTATGGTTTGGAAATGTGTCGCTAAGTTTTATTACGCACTTATTTAGACCCTAGGTTTTAGGTTCGAACGAGGTCTTTAAAAAAGGCCAGAGATAAGTATTTTCCCTATTAGACCTCTGTAATTGGGCCATGAGAACCACTCGCACAGAATTCCTCTGAATTCCTTCCTGGATGTGGATTTTCAACGAGGTTCTTAAGTTTGTGAAAGTGACTAGACTCCAAAGAAAATACAGAGACAGAGAGGTAGGCTTTTGTTCTAGCCATAAGAATTTTTCGATTTATAATCTTTAGAACGTACGTATATTTTAGAAGACTTCGGGATTTGGCTAACCCCGTTTTGATGATTTTATTTGAGTGAGTACTGGAAAAATATTGGCCCCTGCGGTCGTAACGATTAAGCAATATAATTTCGTGATTTTCGTTACTGGCCCCTCGACCAAGACCTGTGAACTCGAGATGCACGTTTTAACCTCTTTAGAGTTTCTGGTTGCCTAATCAGTTCTATTTAAAGAAAAATTCAGGTAATGGTTGTCAGATTTACCTTTACTTGCTGTGGCTTTATCTCGCCGGATGCGATTGTCTCACTACCACACTTGTTTAATAGATGACGCAACCTTTTACTATTATCGTCCATCTTCAATGCGTTAAGTCAAATGACACTGCTGAGAGGAAAGGTGGAATGCTTAGGGAGGGTGTTTCATCCAGTTTTTAGGAGAAAGTCTATTAGACACTGCAAGACTTCTACCTGCAGAGTGCCTTTTCGGCTTTTGAGAACTCGACGAAAGCACCTTTCTTACAGAATTGTCAATCTTGATAACTTTGCTTTGCAGTTCACACAGTAATTCGATTAAGTCGCACACTTGTCAGATTTTTTAATTGTTCAGCCTTTTAACTCTTTACGGTGGCCAATTTACGTTTCCAACTCAGTTGTTAACACTAAATTACCTGCTATACTCTCCCACCGACGCAGCACCACAGTTTCTTTGGAAACTTACCCCCTTTTTTCATTTCTAATTGTTCGCCTTGCCTAAAATATCGGTCCCTTACTTGTTACTCCATGCTCATTTACATTAATTTTAACGAAGTGAAACCGTATCCATTCACTTCAAGAAAAAAAAACAACGTTCGTAAAAGAGCAGCGTTCCAAAGACTACTGAGTAAAAAAAAAATGTAATCTACAAGGTTGAATAATTAAGGATTATGTTATGTTTCGGTGGGACACAAGGAAAAGGGCAATCATGACTGACAAGAAGTTTCAAAGTCTTTTCAATTTAAGAGCAATTAAGGGACCACCAATAACGAGCTCTGAAGGAAATCGAGTGGATTAGGGCTTTTATCGTCACACAGACTAAGAAAGACGATTAGATACAACCGTAATAGCCAGACAAAAAGGAAATGAATGTTGATGAAGGTTGGACCAAGCCGTTTAAGAAAGGAAGGAAAACAGCTGAGGAGGCTTTGGTTTTGGATAACATTCCTGAACAAATCATAAGATATTGCGATAAAACTGTGAAAACGCAAGAATCATGATGACAAGGAGATTAAAAGATCCTAATTACTACGACGACCCAGTGTAACGCGTGTGCACGATCCAAAGGGAACCTTTTGATGTAGACGGGATAAGAGACCAGGAACGACAGAAGATCAAGAAATTAAAGAGCTGAGCAACAGCAACGAGGTGTATAGCCACGAAGAGGAGATCTACAGTGTCGAAATTGGCAAAAGGAGAAAAAGATTGCCTTTAATGGACCAGAGAGAGAGAGAGAGAGATCGAACAAAGCGTTCAAGTCGTGACTCTGCGTAGACACATTTTTCCTTCAAGCTCACTTGGTTTTTCACTGAGTGTGATGACCTTTTGAAACAGTTGGATTTATACATTTCATTTGTAATTGATATCATTATTTATTCAGCAGCATCGTTTTTATCTCAAAATGGGGGAGGATACAGTGACTGGATAGTTAACTTGCTCGCTGTCTCTTTCCGAGACCTGGTGCCGAGTTAAGAGGGCAGATAAGATGATATTGGAAACGCCCCCGAAATAGCTATGTTCTCGAGGAACTAAAAGATTTCAAAACAATGAAAGTGAGCAAGATGCAATTTAATACAACGCATTACAATTACTGGTCACCAGAGGGAGAGGCTTGATTCCGTTAGGAGAGAGAGAGAGGGGGAAGGACAGATAATAATGATAATAATGAGCTCGAAACGCTGACTGCCTCTTCCTCGTGTACATTTGTAAAATACTGGGGAATTTGAAACGTCCGCTCGCAGGCTGTCAATTTGTTTGAATAACAAGTTCGAATCATTAACGTGTGAAAAACTGGACAAACATGAATCTTAGCGAGGCTGCTGATAAGATAGAATTTTCTTTCGCATGTCAGATTCTCAACGGCGACAAGCAGTGCCTTTCGTCGCGTTGCCTTTTGGAAAAGACATTAACAGCTGTCAGTGTTTGGCATCATTAATAGCTGCATCGTACGATCATATCCATTCTATAGTAATATATCATCTTGGGAAAGTCTTTTACTATTTGTCGTTAGTTATTTCGGGTTATATCGTTTGCGTTGTTAGCAGGAAATGGTGTAAGAACTGGTTTTAATGGCATTAACATAAATCATACTCATATTTCACCGGGAAAAGTGACTGAAACTGACAGCTAGAGACCACCGAAAATTCAGCTTTTAAATCAAAATTGAAAAATTTGAAAATCATTGGACGTCTTAAATTTGCACTAGATTTTCTTAAGTTAAGCTTAAAGTGGTAATCACTGGAGTTTTTTTACGTCTTAGAAACGAATGTATTTTTCAAAGGATACGGCCAATCCTTTATGACACCAGATCTTTGCTTCATCATACAACTTAAGCTGCACACAAGCTTCAGCTCCTATAAAAATAAGGATTAGTGATAAATAGCTAAGTGCCTTCTTTGAGAAGCCAAAATATTGGCATTTTCAATTCACAAATGAAGATTTATGGTGCGTGACCGCGTAGATTTGAACCAGAAACATCTACTTCAACGTACGTAGCCAGGGAGCTATCGCCACTGAATGGCGACTAAAATTAAACTCACCTTTCTCCAAGGCTTTGATGAAAGTTGGCTCCAATTGTACAGCAACTGTGGCATCATCTAGGCTGTTTTCAAAGTTTTCTAAAGGAGGGATTTAGAGCTAACCGGTCATTTGCGTTCGATAGAATTGCAAAAAGAGTAACCGACTCCCTTTCAACAGGACTCTTTACAACTAATTCGAGGTTTTCTTTCACCTTGGAAAGACTTGGGCCCCCTCATATAACCTTCGATAACGCGGTTGGGGGAGGAGGGAGGGTTTGGTGAGGAGAATACATATGGGAAGTGCAGGTGATAACGGGATTAGTTTATTAATTTTCCCCTTTTTTACCATTAGGACCTAAAACTTGAACTTGAACGCTCGACGTGAAATTAAAGAGGGTCGTGAGTGATATAAAGCTCTTCTCGGGGATTTCGGTTCATTATAGGTCACAAGATTTGGAGTCTTTATCTTAAGTAGCCGTTATATTACTGGATGTCCTTTAACTCATTTGGAGTGATAGATAAACGACCAGAAAAATTAGCATAATTAGCATGACTCTTTGAAGAAGAACTTTTAAGTAAACTATAAATAATTGAACGTTGAAATTCCATACCTAAACGGAAATGAGCTGCTGCCCTGTTATTGTAGAGTCTGGCTGTCAGCCGATTATCTTTGCAGTTTAGTTGAAGTCCTTCAGTGTACAGTTGTAGCGCTCTATGAAAATCTCCTTGTCTGTATTCTTTGTTACCTTGCTGAAAACAATCCTTTGCTCTCACTAAAAATACAGGAAACACCGGAATATTACTCGTTATGACTAATTACTTACAATACCCCGAACGATTAAAATTAATTATAAGGCGGTTTTTAAGTCTATATCCTCAACCAACGTAATGACATGATTCGAGCATTTTAACAAGCTCTTTCATTCTTAAACCGATTGTGGGTTGTGTTTTTCTGATCAGAAAATGATTTGAGAGACAAAACAAGAAAAGAACAAAAGGCTCATTATATAGAATAAGGGGCCGATTTGGAAGAAAATTTTATGGCTGGGAGATGTATAGGAAAGGTAATTTAGTTGTTTAGAACGTTAAGTGTCTAGCGACTGGTTTGGATGCGTCCTTGTCATTTCTTTCTAAGTCGCGAACGTATTCTCGGAATCGGTCAACGAGTATATTTACCAATAAATAACTTATTGCAAGGAAGTTATGCAATAAATGACAAAACGGAGGTACACGTAAAATCAGATCTTGAAAAGCGCTCAGGATCTCGGCGACCGATATTTTCGATCTTGGAAAGTATTATTCACTCTAATCGACAATTAATTCATGCATTTCCGAACTGTTCCGTAGACGGCAGGGAAAAGTAAACTGTTTTTTTTATTTAAAAGTTGAGAGAGTTTGCTCGTGTGTTTACTGCAATGGCGTGTGTAAATCTGGTCTTTGCTCCATAAAAACTAAATTCGAATGATACACTCCAACGAGACACAAGGGGATTTAATGCAACCTTTTCTCATTGATTCCTTCAGTTTCGTATTTACGGTACAAATGTCCAAATGTAACGGACCCTTCGCTCGCCCTTTCACTAATATACAAATTGTTTGCAGAAAACTCAGATATTAAATGAATGAAATCATTAGCGTAACCAAATACACGTTTTAACTTTCTGGGAGTGAACGATTAAAATTAATTGCAGGAGGTTTTTAGGCCGCTTGTCAACCAAAGTAATGACACTATTGCTTATACAATTAATTCTCAAACCGATATTTTTCTGTCAACAAAAGTGATTTGAGAGAGAGAAAAGAGAGGATTAATAAGTTATTTATCAGCTTGAGGTAGTGACCGAAGTCTTTGCTTCAAATACTGCTCAGCTGGAAAAACGAGATATATTTATAAAAAATGGCAACGAAAGTAGGGATGTACTCGGCGACTCACGAAAGCGTTACCGTTGCCCGTGGGCAGTGTTAGGAAAATACTGACCGGGTAAAGAACCAATCAGATTGCATGATTCGTTACCATGCCCTCTTTTGCCATTCTAGCACGATGCTGTTCATAGCGTTCCATCACATGAGTATTTCAAGACACGTGCGTCACTTTTTCAATAGATCTTTTTTTTTAAGAAAGGCTGGTGCGACTATGTTTTCTCGCGCAGTAGAATGGTAATCAAAGTTACTCCCGGAAAAAGATTATCACTTCACTTCGTTCTATTAGACGGGAGATGGACAATTTGCACCAAATCAGTTCAAACTCTTGGTTCATCTTCAGCAACGTTCCGACAGAGAAATTTCCAACTGAATGTAGAGAATAACCTTGGATTGCTTTGATTTTCCTTTCGCTTAAGGATTGCTCAAAAACTTGCGCCTCTCACACAGTCAGTCAGATTTCACACTAGAACTAGGTAATTTAGTGTTATCAACTGAGTTGATAATGTAAATTGGCCACTGTAAAGAGTTTCAAAGCTGACTTTTGGAGCGTTTGCCCTTTGTCATTCTCTCTGACGAACTGGGCTAACGCTCGAAACGTCAGCTTTGAAACAAGATAGCAAATTTACATTATGAACTCAGTTGATAAAGCCAAATGTTATCTTGTTATATTCCCCCACCGATGCAGCACCACAGTTTCTTTAGAAACTTACCCTCCATAAAAATATAACAAGTTGAATTGCGGCTCTGTCGCTCTTGTTTTCCTGCGCGTCAGGTATGCGCAGTTTCCTTGTTTCCACTTAAATTTCTCATCGGCTCCTTGTAGTAATTCCTTTTCGTGACTTGCTGATTTAGTTTCGGTTTTACGACACTCAGTAATAAAGCGCTCTACTAGCTACGGTTGAATTGTTCCGAGTGTAAGAGGGACAGTGGATGACTACAGATTGTCCTACCTTACGTCTTGTGGAACACGTTAGTCTTCTCACTTACCTACTAAGGGGTCGTTGTCTAGGTCCACATCTTTATCATCTGAAGTTTTGTTCGCTGAAATTATAGCGAAGATATGTAAGATGTCTTTTGCGCGTGTCACAACTGAACCAATTTTCCATTTTAGTGACCCATGATGAAATGGAATATCTGTTTTTGCATCCCAATGGCCAACCGTACCGATTTCTAATCTGTCAGAATCACTCTCTTTGTCATGGAAAAGGCTTTATGAAATTGAACGCGCGAAGGAATTTTTCGACGTCTTGCTTAACTAAAAATTCGTCGGTGGTTTTAAAAATGGAAACTAAATGGAAGCCCTTACTGAGCACGGATTTCTAGCTCTGAGTTGGATAGTGGAAGATTTTCTGGAATGGTGACGACAGATTTGAGGCTCTCAGGTGATGAGTGAGGACCGATAAGTTGGTCAAGTTTTTGGGCCTTAATTTGGTGAAATGGTTAAAAACACTGCCTTTGGTGACGATATTGCTTGGAATGAGAGAAAGAGGATGCATAAAAATTAGAGCGAAAACAAATGTTCTCTTAGGTTTTAACGCGTTTCGCCTTCGTCTTGGTGCCGAAAATATTGGTTTAAGAACGCCCACCAGTCTTTTGCAGAAAAATATGATCTGCAAATATTTTATTTAAAACGGTGCAGCATCTTTTAGACTCAGTAGCCTTAATTTTTTCTTTTAAAGAAATGACAGGGGAAAAACTTCACACTTTTGAGTTTGGTCACGTATGGTGTCTTCTATAATTTTCTTGCATACACTTTTTTTTATATCGTGATAGATAAAAAGCCATTCCATCACTCACAGGTACAATATACTCTAAACTTGTGACAGTGCGATTGATAACTGGGCTGTTAGACTGTCGAAATACCAAGATTACTCAGTTTGTTCATCATCGATAACGAATCTCGGTTCGAGTTGTAGTATCATATCGTTATAATCATAAAAAAAATCTGATAAGGCCTCACTTTTTTCCTCACCTGGGGAACCGTTGTCAGCAGCAGCCAGGTTTTCATCAGCTTCCATGTTGTCCTCTTTGCCAACTGAAATACCAATACATATTAATAATTAAAACACTCCCCATCTATGATGATCTCTGATGATGACCAAGATTTATATTTCGACTTAATTTCGGACTTAAGCTTACATTCATTCAGTTTTATATTGATCTCTTGTACCTTTTGGTTTGTTTCCATCGTCATCTGATTCCTTCTTGGATGTAAAATGATCTTGAAATAGCGAAGAACACAAATTTAATTGAGCAAGGAACACTTTCAGGGTTCAGTTTGTTCGACGATGTGTTTGATTTGATTGTGCGTGTTGTACTCAGTGGTTACAAACTTAAATTACCACTATCTTTTTTCATTTTATTTCTCTCACCTGAAGAAAGTTTATCATCCAAATCAAGTTTTTCTTGGATTGCTTTAACTTTATCCTCTGACGTACCTAAAAAAATAGAAAATAATTAAACATATTGGGTTGTGCTTTGGAAAATGTTTTAAAACAATGGAGGATAATAAATTTTTAGAAAGCAACCAACAGACACGTTTATGAATACAATACATCAACAACAGTGGATGTAGTGTTTTTTGGCCCAAGGTTTTCCTATTGTTGCTTTTTATTGCTGTTAAGCATTAAAATAGATGCTGCTGGTTATTGATTTAAAGCAACCAACGCTCACTCAATAAATCAGCCCTTATAACAATGAATTCAAACAAACAGATGGTATAATTCTTTACCTGTTGAACTCCCGATCTCTAAATCCTTTGATTTTCCAGAGGAAAGGACTTGACTTTTCTCCTGGTCTAAAAGTATAAAAAACAGATTGTTTAAATGCTCATCATCACAATTATCATTTTTGCTATTCATCAGTTGTGCTATCATTATCATCATTACTATTATCAGAATTGTTCTTGATAAATTTGACAGGATAATAAAAGTCATAGAATAATAAATATTACAAAAGAAAACTAATTACGGCCAATTGGAATTTTCGTGATAGCCTAGTTGAAACCATTCCTGTTAGACTATCAAAATAGATAAATAATTGTCCATTAAAAGAAAAAAAGACTCCAGTTGCGAGTTGTGGTATAAAGATCGGCGCTAAACACATTTCATCATTTTTCTTTTGTTTGCTAATGATTTGTCTGCAAAGACCTGGTTTTCTCCTGCTCCTAACTTAACTTGCGCCTCTTCAGTTAAACCAAACAGCAATTAGTATAACTGGTATCCAAATTACAACATCCAGCACTTTTCTTTTATTAGTCTTGATCCTCCTGTCTATTTGAGGGTTTTTCCCCATTTCAATTTCAAAGACAAAAATAAATTTTGAAACTAAAAAAAAATGCACAAGCAAATGTTTTAAATAACAACTGCTATTATGAGTCTGGGAAATCATTCTTCTCTTATGCAGTCAGAAAATTTTTGGAGGTACAGTTCGTCCTGTTATAGTAAAACAACACGTAGACTCGTAGTCAACAGTGTGGTTCGTCATTCGCTGACTTTCAGCAGTTTGATTGGTGACATCACCATTGATTGTTACTACCTTGTTTTAAGTCAGTCATTTTTTAGCCCCCTTTCCTATCTCCTTGTCTCCGATGTTGGGAATCGGCGAACTTGATATAATGAACTGCAACTTGTATGTTGTTTGGATTTTCTCTCTGTAATAGTGTAGTTTGATCGTCCGGGAGAGTGTAGTCCTGAGAAGGACTGTTGTCGGTAGTGGCATCTGACGTTTCGACAACCTGAGCGGAAGTCATCATCTTGTATACACTGATTGGTCAGTTTTGCCGTGATGTTATTGGCTGTAAGACTCAGGTGGCGTAGGTCGGTCGTGATTGGTCGGTCTCGATCCGTTAGTGAAGTCAGGTCGTTCTGTTCGTTCATTTGTAATGGTAATGTCGTGAATGAGTCTTTTGTATGGTGCCGGTAGTGGTTCACACTTGTTAAGGGGAGTCTGTTCCAAGTTGGTAAACCAGCTTTCTAGGGTCAGTCGTTGAAAGTAGTTGGTGCTGTAGGTTGGGCATTGCGCAGAGTCCCAGTCAATAGAGTGGTTCGTAAGTCGGTGATGTTCAACAATGTGATTGTTGACATCGCCTTTCCTTGTCGCTCGTTTGTGTTCAGTTAGTCTAGTTGTGAGGTTTCTGCCAGTCTCACCGATGTAGAAGGCGTGGCAGTGGGAGCAATTGATCTTATACAATGCTTCTTAGCTGTTCCTCGGTTCGTCTTTGTCTTTGACGTTAGTCAGTAACTGACGTAGTGTGGTAATAAGTTTGTGAGCGACGTGGATATTGAATGGTTGTAGGATGCGCGAGATGTTCTCAGATATGCCTTTACGTACGGTATAGTTGCTGTAGTCGTAGGAGTTGTGTTGGCGTTAGCTTCGGTAGTAGTAGTAGGTCGGTAAGTGTTACGTTTGATGAAGTCTTCGTTGTAGTTGTTCTTAGAAAAAACACGGTCAAGGTACTTGTTCTCGTCGGATAAGCTGTCTGTCGTGTTGCATCTAAGTTGCGCTCGTCGCGTAAGAGTCCTGATAGTTGTGGCTTTGTGTGATGTCGGGCTATAGGATGACTCGTCCAGTAATCTGTCGATATGTGTCGGTTTCCTGTAAACTGTTGTTCGTAGTGAGTTGTCGTCACGGCTTACCAGGCAGTCTAGAAAAGGTAGTTTACCATTTTCTTCGACCTCTCTGTATGTCAGTGTTTTTTTCGTTGAGGTGGTGGTGGAATGCGTCGATTTCGTCGTGTCGTACGGCGGTGAAAGTATCGTCAACGTAGCGTAACCAAAGCGGTATCGTTTATCGGTAAGTCGAAAGGGCGCTTTCCTCGATGTTGCATCACAATTTCTGCTACAACAACAGAAACTGGAGACCCAATAGCTGTACTGTATAACTGTTTGTAGTGTTTACCGTTGTATTGAAAGTAAGTTGACGTCAGGCAAAGGTTTAGTAAGTCCATAATGTCCTCTGTCGGTAGCAGTAGAGGGTCGGTAGATTGTAAGATAGCAGTCTCAGTACATTGTAGTGCTAGTTGAAGTGGAATACTTGTAAAAAGCGATTTCACATCAAATGACACTAGTTTGTAGTCGTCAGGTATCTGTACAGTCTTAGTGGCGTTAATGAAGTCCTCGGTGGATTGTAGTTTACGTCTGGATTTGTCGGTGAGCGGTTGTAGTATTGTCGTCAGGTACTTGGACAGTTGGTATGTCGGAGAACCACAGAAAGAAACAATAGGGCGCATTGGGAAACCAGGTTTGTTTAGTTTCGGCAGACTGTAAAGTTTCAGTGGCTGTGGTACTGAGCACCTGAGTCGATAGTAGCGTTGGGTGTCAATGGCGTCTGTCTTCTTGAGTGTCAGTAATGTGCTGTTAAGTTTGCGTTGAAGCGCAGGAGTCGGGTCACGTTAGAGTTGTTCGTAGGTTTGTTTGTCGTTACTTTACTAGTGCGTCCATTTTGTCGTGATAGTCAGTTTTGTCCATGACAACAGTAACTCGTCCTTTGTCGGCTGGTAGAATAACTATGTCCTCGTCGTTTAAGGGCATGTTGTTCGTCTTTAGTCGAGTTGCTGCCATGTTGTAACGCTGATTGTATAGTGGAAGCAATTCTACTTCTGATGTTATCCTTAGTAGACTCAGATAGCTCTCGTTGCCGAGACAGAGCCGCTTCAACAATAGCCTCGGTTGGTATCCGCTTCGGTGTAACTGAGTGTTTCAGTCCGTATGACAGTACGCGAGTTTCATTCTTGTCTAAGGGACGGGAAGAGATGTTCCTTACCCAGTTGTCGTCCGGTTTACTTCGTCTCTGTTCTTTGTTGCGTAGAAGTCCTGTCAGTTTCTGTTGATGCCCAGTACGGGCACGTTCAGTCGCTTTGTTGTCTCGTTTGTCGGCAATAGTCGTAACAATGTCAAGTAATTCAGTAGGTATCAGTTGTTTCAGTTTGTCGTGTAGTTGTTGTGTCTTGTTTTTGTAGCGTTTGAGTCTTCTGTGGCAATCATTTAGCCGCGCTTTGACCAGTCGTCTGCAGGTGGCTCTGACGATCTGGATGACCTCTTGAGTGTTCAACGGGGACTAAACCAGAGTTGTTGTCGTATTCGTCTGACAGTGCTTGCGTAGGTGATGTAGTCGTTCGTAAGTCTTTCGCTCTCTCGTCCAAGCGAACGTAACACAGTAAATGGTTTGAACCCAGGGGTAACATGTAATAGCGAATGAAGCTCTTTTTTCTTTCGTTTTATAAACCTTGACTTCGTCTCGGTAACTCAATATTCAAAAACTCCTTGGTCAAAATCCAGTCCGCCCAGTCACCCCACATACTTGGTGAAATACGCGCGCAAGTGATTTTCAGAAAATAACCTTTGTATATTAAATTCCACTTAACTCAGTCTTTTAAGGACTTTGATTTCTCTGTGCTTCCTAACTTACCTACTAAAGGAGCATCCTTCATATCCACTTTTTTCTCAACAGAAGTAGCTTCACTTTTGTCTGTCAATGAAATTACAACGAAATGGTTTTCACTCTTTTTTGTGTCATCAACTGATCAAGGAGGCAACTCATGGACTAAACTTGTGATAATGCGATTGATAACTGGTCTGTTAGACTGTCGAGATACCAAGAATATTCGCTTTGCTCATCATAGTTTGACAAAATAATATAAGTTCAGTTAAATGCGTTTTCTAAGTTTAGTTTAATGCATCTGGTGTTGCTATTCGGTCAGGAGTTAAGTATAACAGGGCACATGAACTGAGTTGATAACGTAAATTAAATTTACGTCTAGTTTGTAAAGACATTTAAAAGATATCTGACGTTTGAGCAAGTTAGCCCATATCAGTCAGAAGCATTGAATGGCTCTGATTCACTATCAACCCAGTTGATAGTTGAAAAAATTTCAGTACTAGTTGTCTTGTTATTATTAACTCTAAAAGGAAATCTAAATATGCTTGTTTCTTTTTTCTCACCTGATAAACTGTTATCAGCAAAGTCCAAGCTTCCAACAGCGGCTGTTGAGGAAGCCTGTTGACCAACTAAAATACCAATACATGTAAATAGTAGTAATACTCGTGATTTTTCACAACTTTTGTTTTCTTCATCTCCTAATATATGCAAGGTTTTTCCCCCAGGTGTAAAAATATCTATGATGGAAATCGGTTTGGAAAGTGAAAAATGTAAAACGCATGGTTATCGTGCCGATTTAAGCTGTAAATAATTTCTTCTTTATTTCTATCCTAAATATTAACCACCCAAAAAAGGCATCAGTCCCTCCTCAATCTTCGAAAAGCTCTCTTGATTTGTAACGTGTTTCTCGGTGTTTAATTGACGCTTAACTTTTAACACGCACTCTGTGTTTGCTGTAATCACTTGTACCTGTTGATTTGCCATCATCGTCGTCTGACTCCTTCTTGAATCCAGATAGACCTTGGAATGGTAAAAAAGAATATTTTACTTTGAGCAAGGAAAATTTTTAGCCGTAATGATTCAGTTGTTTGTGTTTAACTTATTTTCATAGGTCTTTTTTCACTCACAAACTTGAAAAGTGCAATTCATTTACTGTTTTATCTCTCTCACCTGATAAAAGCTCATCCTCCAAATTCACCTTTTCTTGGTTTGCTGAATCTTTCCCTTCCGAAGTAGCTAAAAATTAGGAAAGAATCAAACATATTGGGTTGTGCTCTGGACTTTTCCATTAAACAATGAAGAATAATACATTTATAAAAATTAACCTCTCTTCTTATCATAGAACGTCAAATATGATCAAGACAAGAAATTGCACCTTTTTTCACCCCTGTTTGTTTGTGATTATTTCTTTTCATTGCTGCCAAGTTCTCGAGCTTTAGATCATTGAATTAGATGTGGCTACCTATTAATTCTTTTCAAAACATAATTCAATCAATAAACCAGACTTATGATTACAATATACTTCTATACTATTTACGGCTTTATTCTGTACTTGCGGAACTGCCGATCTCTAAATCTTTTCATTTTTCCAAATGATGAAACTTGAATTTTCCTCAGGTTGAAAATTAAAAAAAAAAGGGAGTTTGAATGATCGTCATCACTGTCTTCACGGTCATCAACATCATCATATTATTGCCACTCTTTACGTTTTCATTGTCTTAAATTCTTTTTACTTTTCCTAGGACCACTAGGGTCATGTAACAATTAATTATATAGAGTCCATTAGAGATATTTTCCTCCTTTGAATGTGTTTGATTTCAAATCAAGTCAGTCCTACTTACCTGCTATGGACAAAGAAGCATTAAAATCCACTCCGTTATCACTTGAGGTAACTTCGCTTTTGTCTGCCTCTGAAATTATAACCAAAAGTTGTATCTCATCTGAGTTGAGTTAAATGCGTTTTGGTACAGTTTAGTTTAGTGCATCTGAAAGGTCTGTTGTCTATTTAAGTTTAGCTCAGGTTAGCTAAGTATAAGTTTTCGTTTAGGCGGGGGCACAGAGGAAGGAGTGTTAATAGTTTAGTTGAGTATAAATTTACGTCTAGTTTGTCACCAAAAAGATATCTGGCCTATGATCAAGTACACATATCAGACATTGAACTTGTCACACCTATTCAAATGGTATCTTATGGGCGGGGAAATAACAACGACAAACAAGTGAGGAGTGCCGCGAGTATTTAGACCTACTGGACCAGGAAAAATTTTACAATGATAAGTTGAATAACAACATATTGAATAATTTCTGTCCATCATCAGGGTAAGCTCTGTTCTGTTATTATTGCACAAGTCAACAATTTCTGAAAAGCATTTAACTGTTTTTCTCACCTAATGAACTGTTGTCAGTCAAGTCCTGGTTTCCTTCGGCTGCTTCAACTTGCGCCTCTTTGGTAACTCAAAAAAACAAAGAATATCATTGGTCATAAAAACTGGAATATTTGAAAAGCTTTTCTATTGATTTCCACCATCCTCTGATATTTTAATTGGGGTTTTTCCCTTAATATCGCAATATGAAAGACTAAAATAACTTCAGAAACTGAAAAATATAAATTTTTTTCCGTTATTGTGTAGCTTACGACTGTGAAACAATCTCTTGGTTTTTTCTGTCTTAATATTAACCCACAGAAAATTATTCAGTCAGTTTTCAATCTTTAAACGCTTAATTGCCTTGAAACGTTTCATTTGAAATAACTACAACTGTCCTTTTGGTAAAAAGTTTTCTTGAGTGAATTTCCACACCACTTGTCTCTCAACGGCTTCTTAGCCGCGTAAACATTTAAGATCAAGTAACAAGGTGCGAGGAAAACAATGAAATTGTTTAACGTTACAAGTACTTGTAAACAATCATAGATTGGTTTGAAATTACGGAAACTGTGCAGACCAATGCCACAATTGAAATATGATTATTTTGCTCAGTTTTAAACAAAAACGATTCCAGGGTTTTTTTGGATAATCTTCCTACAGATGTAAGCTTTCAAACTGTCTGAGTGTTACACTTATTACTTATACCTATTAATTTGTTATCATTGCCATCTGATTCCTTCTTTAATGCAATTTGGCCTCGAATTATGAAAGAAAAAACATTTCCCTTTGAACTAAGAACACTTTTAGTTAATGATCCATTGTTTGTTTATTTCAATGTTTATTTCATGACGTTTGTTGTACTCAATGCCCACTGACTTAATTTATTGCTATCTACTTGGTGAAAACATTATTTGATGAAAAAAACCTAAAGCTGCGGACTGGCCCTCTGGGGAAGTTCAGTTGGACTTTCTAATCTGATTAGACATCTCTAATTTGTTAGCATGTCTTTGTCATGGAAAACGGCTTTATGAAATTGAACGCGCGAAGGAATTTTTCGAAGTGTTGCTTGCCTAAAAATTTTTCGGTGGTTTTAAAAATGGAAACAGAATTTAAGCCCTTACCGAGCACAGATTTCTAGCTCTGAATTAGATAGTGGAAGATTTTCTGGAATGGTGACGACAGTTTTGAGGCTTTCAGGTAATGAGTGAGGACCGGTAAGTTGGTCAAGTTTTTGGGCCATAATTTGGTGCAAATGGTTAAAAACACTGACTTTTGGTGACGATATTGCTTGGAATGAGAGAAAGAGGATGTATAAAAAATTAGAGTGAAAACCCTTAGGGTTGGATTAAGAAGATCTTAGTATGTTTAATGATATAATTTGCTCCGTGTGTTGACAAACTCTTCCATTGCGAGCTCTTGTGTTATAGCACATACAAAAAAGCTGATCAACAATCAATTTTTTACCTGATGAGTTGTTGAAAGGAAAGTCCTCGTTTTCTTCAGCTGCCTCAGCTTGTGTCTCTATGATAACTAAAATGAAACGGGTGATGATGATAATATAATCAGTTGTGACCTGTAATTAATGGGGTAAGTTTCTAAAGGAACTGTGGTGCTACGTCGGTGGAAGAGTATAACAGGGTAATTTTGTATCATCAGCTGAGTTGATAACGTAAATTGACCACTGTTTCAAGAGTCAAAGCTGACGTTTCGAGAGTTAGCCGTTCGTCAGAGCAACCGTGACCTGTCATAGTTTTTTTGTGTTCCCCTCACTCTCTTGATTTTTACTCTTCTGTTGGGAAGAATCAGCCTTAAGTAGGTAATCCAGCTTCCGAAAGAGTCTTGGAGAGTCCCAGACAATATTGTGGTTCGTTAGTCGCCGATGTTCAGAAATGTGATTGTTGACATCACCATTTCTCACTGCCGATCTTTAAAACTGCTCCTTGATAGTTTTGTTCGTAAATAAATGTTCTCTTGAGTTTTTACGCATTTCGCCTCTGTTTTGGTGCCGAAAATCTTGGTTAAGAACGCCTGCCAGTCTTTTGCAGAAAAAAAAAGATCTGCGCATATTTTACTTAGAACGGTTCAGCATCTTTTAGACTCAGTAGCCTTAATTTTGTATGTTAAAGAAATGACAGGGGAAAAACTTCACACTTTTGAGTTTTGTCACGTATTGTGTCTTCTATAATTTCCTCGTCTGCCCTTTTTTTTATCGTGATAGATGAAAAGTCATTCCACCACTCACAGGTACAATTCTTGCTCCAATCTTGTGACAGTGGAATTGATAAATGGGCTGTTAGACTGTCTAAATACCAATATAACTCGGTTTGCTCACCATCGTTTGCAAATCTCGGTTCGAGATGTAGTATCATATCGTTATATTCATATAAAAAATCTGATAAGGCCTCACTTTTTTCCTCACCTGGGGAACCGTTGTCAGCAGCAGCCAGGTTTTCATCAGCTTCCATGTTGTCCTCTTTTCCAACTGAAATACCAATACACATTAATAGTTAAAACACTTACTATCTATGATGATCTCTGATGATGACCAAGATTTATATTTCGATTTGTATTCAGACTTAAATTCAGGCATATATTCATTCAGTGTTATATTGATCTCTTGTACCTTTTGGTTTGCTTTCATCACCATCCGATTTCTTCTTGGATGTAACTTGAAATAGCAACGAACACAAATTTACATGAGCAAAGAACGGTTTCAGGGTTCAGTTTGTTCGACGGTGTGTTTGATTTTATCGCGCGTGGTGTACTCAGTGGTTACAAACTTAAATTACCCATCTCTTTTCTGTTTTATTTCTCTCACCTGAAGAGAGTTTATCATCCAAAGCCAGATTTTCTTGGATTGCTTTAACTTTATCCTCTGACGTACCTAAAAAAATAGAAAATAGTTAAACATATTGGGTTGAGCTTTGGAAACTGTTTGAAAACAATGAAGGATCATAATTTTCTAGAGAGCAACTAACAACAGACACGTTTACAAATACAATACATCAAGAACAGTGAATGTAGTCTTTTTGGCCCAAGGTTTTCCTGTTGTTGCTTTTTATTGCTGTTAAGCATTAAAATAGATGCTGCTGTTTATTGATTGAAGCAACCAACGCTAACTCAATAAATCAGCCATTATAACCATAAATGCACACCAAGAGATGGTATAATCCTTTACCTGTTGAACTCTCGATCTCTAAATCCTTTGATTTTCCAGAGAAAAGGACTTGACTTTTCTCCTGGTCTAAAAGTATAATAAACAGATTGTTTAAATGCTCATCATCACAATTATCGTTGTTGCTATTCATCAGTTAATTTACTGTTTTATCTCTCTCACCTGATGAAAGCTCATCCTCCAAATTCACCTTTTCTTGGTTTGCTGAATCTTTCCCTTCCGAAGTATCTAAAAATTAGGAAAGAATCAAACATATTGGGTTGTGCTTTGGACTTTTCCTTTAAACAATGAAGAATAATACATTTATAGAAATTAACCTCCTTTGTATAGAACGTCAAATACGATCACCCCTGTTTGTTCGTGATTGTTACTTTTTATTGCTGATGAGTTCTCAAGCATTAGATCACTGAATTAGATGTGGCTGCCTATTAATTCATTTCAAACCAAAATTTAATTAATAAACCAGATTTATGATCACAATATACTTCCATACTATGTACAGTTTTGTACTTGCGGAACTGCCGATCTAAAATTTCCCCAAGTCGAAAATTCCAAAAAAAAAAGGGGTTTGAATGATCGTCATCACTGTCTTCACGGTCATCAACATCATCATATTATGGCTACTATTTATGTTTTCATTATCTTAGATTCTGTTTACTTTTCCCAGGTAGGACCACGTAGGTCATGTAACAATTAACTGTATGGAGTCTATTAGAGATTTTCTCCTATGATGAATATGTTTGATCTTAACCCAAGTCAGTCCTACTTGCCTGCTACGGACAACGAAGCTTTAAAACCCACTCCGTTATCACTTGAGGTAGCTTCACTTTTGGTTGCCCCTGAAATTATGACCAAAAGTTGTATCTCATCTAAAGCGTTCTTGGTTAAGCTTAGTTCAGTGCACCTAAAAGGTCGGTTGTCTATCTAAGTTTAGCTCAGTTTAGTTAAGTATAAGTTTTCGTTTAGGCGGGGGCAGATAAAGGAAGGAGTGTTAATAATTTAGTTGAGTAAAAATTTACGTCCATCCAATGAAATGATATCTGGCCTATGATCAAGTACACATATAAGACATTGAACTTGTCACACTTATTCAAATGATATCTTATGGGCGGGGAAATAACAACGACAACCAAGTGAGGAGTGCCGCGAGTATTTAGACCTAATGGACCAGGGAAAATTTTAGAAGGATAAGTTAATTAACAACATATTTAATAATTACTGTCTATCATCGGGGTAAACTCTGTTCTGTATTGTATTGTATTGTACAAGTCAACAATTTCTGAAAAGCATTTAACTGTTTTTGTCACCTAATGAACTGTTGCCGGGCAAGTCCTGGTTTCCTTCGGCTGCTTCAACTTGTGCCTCTTTGGTAACTCAAAAAAACAAAGAATATCAATGCTCATGAAAATGAAATACTTAAACAGCTTTTTTATTGATTTCCACCATCCTCTGATAATTTTATTGGGGTTTTTCCCTTAATATCGCAATATAAAAGACTAAAATAGCTTTAGAAACTGAAACATTTAAATTTCCCCGTAATTGTGTGGCTTACGACTATGAAAGAATCTCTTGGTTATTTCTGTCTTAATATAAACCCACAGAAAATTACTCATTCTGTCAGTTTTCAATCTTTAAACGCTCAATTGTCTTGAAACGTTTCATTTGAAATAACTACAACTGTCCTTTTGGTAAAAAGTTTCCTTAAGTGAATTTCTACAACACTTGTCTCTCAACGGCTTCTTAGCCGCGTAAACATTTAAGATCAAGTAACAAGGTGCGAGGAAAACAATGAAATTGTTTAACGTTACAAGTTCTTGTAAACAATCATAGATTGCTTTGAAATTACGGAAACTGTGCAGACCAATGCCACAATTGAAATATAATTATTTTGCTCAGTTTTAAACAAAAACGATTCCAGGGTTTTTTTTGGATAATCTTCCTACAGATGTAGGCTTACAAACTGTTTGAGTGTTACACTTATTACTTATACCTATTAATTTGTTATCATTGCCATCTGATTCCTTCTTTAATGCAATTTGGCCTTGAATTATGAAAGAAAAACATTTCCCTTTGAACTAAGAAAATTTTTAGTTAATGATCCTTTGTTTGTTTATTTCAATGTTTGTTTCATGACGTTTGTTGTACTCAATGCTCACTGACTTCGTTTATTGCTATCTACTGAGTGAAAACATCATTTGATGAAAAAAATTAATAAATGCGGACTGGCCCACTGGGGGAGTTCAGTTAAACTTTCTAATCTTATTGGACTTTTCTAATACGTTAGAATCATCCTCTTTTTAAAAAATTCGTCGGTGGTTTTAAAAATGGTAACAAAATTTAAGCTCTTACTGAGGACGGATTTCTAGCTCTGACTCGGATAGTGGAAGATTTTCTGGAATGGTGACGACAGTTTTGAGGCTTTCAGGTGATGAGCGAGGACCCATAAGTTGGTCAAGTTTTTGGGCCATTATTTGATGCTAATGGTTAAAAACACTGAATTTGGTGACGATATTGATTGGAATGAGAGAAAGAAGTTCCATAAAAATTGGAAGCGAAAACCCTTAGAATTGGATTAAGAAAGTCTCAGTAAGTTTAATGAAATAATTTACCCTGTTTGTTGAGAAACTCTTCTAATGCGACCTCTTGTGTTATGGCAATTACAAAAAAGCTGATCAACAATCAATTTCTCACCTGATGAGTTGTTGAAAGGAAAATTCTCGTCTCCTTCAGCTGCCTCAACTTGTGTCTCTGTGATAACTAAAATGAAACGGATGATGATAACAATAATTAGTTGTGACCTGTAATTAAGGGGGTAGGTAGCCAAAAGAACTGTGGTGCTGCATCGGTGAGAGAGTATAACAGGGTAATTTGGTATCATCAGCTGAGTTGATGACGTAAATTGACGACCGTTTCAAGAGTTAAAGCTGACGTTTCGAGCGTTAGCCCTTCGTCAGAGCAACCGTGACCTGTCATGGTCTTTTGTGTTCCCCTCACTCTCTTGATTTTTATTCTTCTATTGGGAAGAAACTGCCTTAAGTAGGTAATTCAGCTTCCGAAAGTCAGTCGTATAACTTAATTCATGCTAAAGGTTAAACATCTTGTAAAGTCCCAAACAATATTGTGGTTAGTTAGTGGACGATGTTCAGAAATGTGATTGTTGACATCACCATTTCTCACGGCCGATCTTTTAAACTGCTCCTTGTTAGTTTTGTTCGTAATCAAATGTTCTCTTGAGTTTTTATGGGTTTCGCCTTCGTCTCGCTGCCGAAAATCTTGGTTAAGAACGCCTGCCAGTCTTTTGCAGAAAAAAGATCTGCCCATATTTTACTTAAAACGGCGCAGCATCTTTTAGACTTAGTAGCCTTAATTTTGTCTGTAAAAGAAATGATAGGGAAAAAAACTTCACACTTTTGAGTTTTGTCGCGTATTGTGTCTTTCGTATGGCCTTTTTTTTATATCGTGATAGATAAAAAGCCTTTCCACCACTCACAGGTACAATTCTTGCTCTAAACTTTTAATAGTGCGATTGATAACTGGGCTGTCAGACTGTCGAAATACCAAGATTATTCGGTTTGCTTATTATACTTTACAAGTCTCGGTTCGAGTTGTAGTATCATACTGTTATAATCATAAAAAAAATCTGATAAGGTCTCACTTTTCCTCACCTAGAGAACTGTTGTCAGCAGCAGCAAGGTTTTCATCAGCTGCCATGTTGTCCTCTTTTCCAACTGAAATACCAAAACAAATTAACAGTTAAAACACTCCCGATCTGTGATGACTTTTGTTTTTCAACCTCTAATACATACCAAGATTTAGATCTAGATTTAATTTCGGACTTAGGCTTACATTCATTCAGTTTTACATTGATCTCTTGTACCTTTTGGTTTGCCTCCATCATCAACTGATTCCTTCTTGGACGTAAAATGATCTTGAAATAGCAAAGAACACAAATGTTACTTGAGCAAAGAACACTTTCAGTGTTCAGTTTGTTCGTGTGTTTGATTTTATCGCGCGTGTTGTACTCAGTCAAACTAAAATCACCATTATCCCTTTTCTGTTTTATTTCTCTCACCTGAAGAAAGTTTATCATCCAAATCCAGTTTTTCTTGGATTGCTTTAACTTTATCATCTGACGTACCTAAAAAAATAGAAAATAATTAGACATATTGGGTTGTGCTTTGGAAACTGTTTGGAAAGAATGAAGGATAATAATTTTTAGAAAGCAACCACCAGACACGTTTATAAATACAATACATCAAGAACAGTGAATGTAGTCTTTTTGGGCCCAAGGTTTTCCTATTGTTGCTTTTTATTGCTGTTAAGCATTAAAATAGATGCTCCTGTTTATTGATTTGGAGCAACCAACGCTCACTCAATAAATCAGCCATTATAACAATAAATGCACACCAAGAGACGGTTTAATCCTGTACCTGTTGAACTCCCGATATCTAAATCCTTTGATTTTCCAGAGGATAGGACTTGGCTTTTCTCCTGGTCTAAAAGTATAAAAAACAGATTGTTTAAATGCTCATCATCACAATTATCATTGTTGCTATTCATCAGTTGTGCTATCATTATTATCATTACTGTTATCAGAATTGTTCTTGATAAATTTGACAGGATAATAAAAGTCATAGAATAATGAATGTCACAATAGGAAACCATTTACGGTCGATTGGAATTTTCGTGATAGCCTAGTTGTAAACTTTCCTGTTAGACTATCAAAATAGATAAATATTTGCCCTTTAACAGAAAAAAGAAACTCCTCTTGCGAGTTGTGGTAAAAAAGATCGGCGCTAAACACATTTCACCATTTGTATTTTGTTTGCTAATGCTTTGTCTGTAAAGACATGGTTTTCTCCTGCTCCTAACTTAACTTGCGCCTCTTCAGTTAAACCAAACAGCAGTTAGTATTACTGGTATCCAAATTACAACATCCAGCACTTTTTCTTATTATTCTTGATCCTCCTGTCTATTTGGGAGTTTTTCCCTCCTGTATTTCAATTTCAAAGACAAAAATAAATTTTGAAACTAAAAAAAAATGCACGAGCAAATGTTTTAAGTAACAAGTGCTATTATGAGTCTGGGAAATCATTCTTTTCTTATGCAGTCAGAAAATTATTGGAGGTACAGTTCGTCCTGTTATATTAAAACAACACGCAGACTCATATCAACGGTGTGGTTCGTCATTCGTTGATTTTCAGCAGTTTGATTTCAGTCATTTTTTAGCGCCCTTTCCTATCTCCTTGTCTCTGATGTTGGTGATCGGCGCATTTGATCTAATAAACTGCACCTTGTCTGTTGTTTGGATCTTCTTTGTCGTTAATGCTAATTAAAGCTCTGTAATAGTGTAGTTTGATCGTCCGGGTGAGTGTAGTCCTGAGATGGACTGTTGTCGGTAGTGGTGACTGACGTTTCGACAACCTGAGCAGAAGTCATCATCAGAGTCAAGTGAATAGTTTTTGTCAGTCGAATGTTCTTAGTCCGGTTTGTATAAACTGATTGATCAGTTTCTCCGTGATGTTATGGGCTCTAAGACTCAAGTGGCGTAGGTCAGTCGTGATTGGTCGGTCTCGATCCGTTGGTGAAGTTAGGTCGTTCTGCTCGGTTCGTTTGTAATATCAATGTCGTGAATGAGTCGTTTGTATGGTGCCCGTAGTGGTTGACACCTGTTGTGGGAAGTCTGTTCCAAGTTGGTAAACCAGCTTTCCAGGGTCAGTCGTTGAAAGTAGTTGGTGCCGTAGGTTAGGCATTGCGCAGAGTCCCAGTCAATAGTGTGGTTCGTAAGTCAGTGATGTTCAGCAATGTGATTGTTGACATCGCCTTTCCTCGTCGCTCGTCTGTGTTCAGTCAGTCTAGTTGTGAGGTTTTCTGCCAGTCTCACCGGTGTAGGAGGCGTGACAGTCGGAGCAATTGATCTTATACACTGCTCCCTGTCTGTTCCTCGGTTCGTCTTTTTCTCTGACGTTAGTCGGCGATAGTCGTAACAGTGTCAAGTAATTCAGTAGATATCAGTTGTTTCAGTTTGTCATGTAGTTGTTTTGTTTTGTTCCTATAGCGTTTGAGTCTTCTGTGGCAATCATTTATCTGCGCTTTGACCAGTCGTCTGCAGGTGGCTTTAACTATCTGGATGGCCTCCTGTGTGTTCAACGGGGACTTAAGTTTGAGCCCGACCGGAACAAGGCCGTGAACTTTACAGCGGATATAAAACCAGAGTTGTTGTCGTATTTGTCTGACAGTGCTTGCGTAGGTGATGTAGTCGTTCATAAGTCTTTCGCTCTGTCGTCCAAGTGAACGTAATACAGTAAATGGTTCGAACCCGGGGGTAACATGTAATAGTGTAGTTTGAAGCTCTTTTTGTTTTCGTTTTATAAACCTCGACTTCGTCTCGGTAACGCAATATTCAAAAACTCCTTGGTCAAAATCCAGTCCGCTCAGTCACCCCACAAACTTGGTGAAATACGCGCGCAAGTGATTTTCAGAAAATAATGTTTGTATATTAAATTCCATTTAACTCAGGCTTTTAAGGACTTTGATTTCTCTGTGCTTCCAAACTTACCTACTAAAGGAGCATCCTTCATATCCACTTTTTTCTCAACAGGAGTAGCTTCACTTTCGTCTGTCAATGAAATTACAACGAAATGGTTTTCACTCGTTTTTGTGTCATCAACTGATCAAGGAGGCAACTCATGGACTAAACTTGTGATAATGCGATTGATAACTGGTCTGTTAGACTGTCGAGATACCAAGAATATTCACTTTGCTCATCATAGTTGACAAAATAATAAAGGGGATAAGTTTCTAAAAAAACTGTGGGGCTGCGTCGTTGGGAGAGTATAACAGAGTCATTAACTGAGTTGATAACGTAAATTAGCAACCGTAAAGAGTTTAAAGCTGACATTTCGAGCATTAGCCCATCGTCAGAGCCAATGGCTCTGATTCACTATCAACTCAGTTAATAGTTGACAAAATTTCAGTACTAGTTGTCTTGTTATTGTTAATTCTAAAAAGAAATCTAAAGATGCTTGTTTCTTTTTCTCACCTGATAAACCCTTATCAGCAAAGTCCAGGCTTCCAACAGCTGCTGTTGAGGAGGCCTGTTGACTAACTAAAATACCAATACATTTATAAGTGATAATACTCATGATTTTTTACAACTTTTGTTTTCTCCATCTCCTAATATATGCAAGGTTTTTCCCCTAAGTGTAAAAATATCTAAGACCCAAATCAGTTTCAATTGGAAAGTGAAAAATGTAAAACCCATGGTTATCGTGCCGGTTTAGGTTAAAAAATAATTTCTTCCTTATTCTATCCTAAATATTGACCCTCAAAAAGTGATCAGTTCCTCTTCAATATTTGAAAAGCTGACTTGCTTTGCAACGTGTTTCCCACTGTTTAATTGACGCTTAAGCTAACACACACTCTGCGTTTGTTCTAATAACTTGTACCTGTTGATTTTCCATCATCGTCATCTGACTCCTTCTTGAATCCAAATTGACCTTGGAATGGTAAAGAAGAATGTTTTATTTTAAGTAAAGGAAACATTTAGCCGTTATGATTCAGTTGTTTGTGTTTCAATTATTTTCATAGGTCTTTTTTCACTCACAAACTTGTACAATTAATTTACTGTTTTATCTCTCTCACCTGATAAAAGCTCATCCTCCAAATTCACCTTTTCTTGGTTTGCTGAATCTTTTCCTTCCGAAGTAGCTAAGAATTAGAAAAGAATCAAACATATTGGGTTGTGCTTTGGACTTTTCTTTTAAACAATGAAGAATAATATATTTATAGAAATTAACCTCCCTACTTTATACAGAACGTCAAATATGATCAAGAATAATAATTGCACCCTCTTCACCCCTGTTTGTCCATGATTGTTACTTTTTATTGCTGCTGAGTTATCAAGCATTAGATCATTGAATTAGATGTGGCTGCCTATTAATTCATTTCAAACCAAAATTTAATTAATAAACCAGACTTAAGATTACAATATATTTCTATACTATTTACAGTTTTGTTCTGTACTTGCGGAACTGCCGATCGCTAAATCTTTTATTTTTTCAAATGATGAAACCTAAAATTTCCTCAAGTCGAAAATTCCCCAAAAAAAGGGGTTTGAATGATCGTCATCACTGTCTTCACGGTCATCAACATCATCATATTATGGCTACTATTTATGTTTTTCAGTATCTTAGATTCTGTTTACTTTTCCCACGACCACCAGGGTCATGTAACTATTGATTACATGAAGTCCATTAGAGATATATTCCTATTATGAATATGTTTGATTTTAACCCAAGTCAGTCCAACTTACCTGCTACGGACAAAGAAGCATTAAAATCCACTCCGTTATCACTTGAGGTAGCGTCACTTTTGTCTGTCCCTGAAATTATAATGAAAAGTTGTATCTCATCGAAGTTGAGTTAAATGCAGTTTGTAAGCCTTCAGATGTAGGCTTTCAAACTGTCTGAGTGTTACACTCATTACCGTCTTATGCCTATTAATTTGTTATCATTGCCATCTGATTCCCTCGTCATTGCAATTTGGCCTTGAATTGTATGAAGAAAAAACATTTACCTTTGAACTAAGAACACTTGTAGTTAATGTGATCTATTGTTTGTTTATTTCAATGTTTGTTTCATAGCGTTTGTTGCACTCAATGCACACTGACTTAATTTATTGCTCTCTACTCTCTTTTCTTTGTTCCTCTCACCTGAAGAAAGCTCATCACCAAAATCCAGTTTTACTTGGATTCCTGAAATTTTATCTCCTGACGAGTCCAATACACAGAAATGAATCATTTAGCTTGGGTTGTGATTCGGAAAATGTTTCAAAATCAGGTTAGTGCGGAAGGATACTGAACTGGTAAAATGGAAACACCCGACCTCGCTTACAGCGTCTAATATACATTTTGGCCTTAGTTTTGTTTAGTTACTTTTGCTTTTGTTGAGTTCTCAAGCATTAAAGCATTAAACCAGATGTGACTGAGTACTGACTCAAACAAGCATTTATTCAAACCGGCATCTATATAATTACAGTATCCTTCTGTACTAGGCTCATTGTTCAATTCTGTACCTGTTGAAGAGCCAATCTCTGACTCCTTTACTTTTCCTGCTGATAAATCTTCACCTTTCTCCTCGTCTAAAAGTAACAAGAGAGGTGGCTTTAGTGATCATCATCACCATCGTGTCGTCGTCATTATTATCATTATGATGATTATTATTATTGTCACTGTCATTATCGGTACTGTTGTCATCATCGTCATCATCATCTTCGTCACTGTTATCATTAACTATTATCAATTATTATCGTTATTATTGTTAGACATAAGATATCGGTCTCAGGACGTCCTGGGTGGTGTTACCCCAGTTTATTGTGTGTGGTCTTTTACAGAAAACTTGATTGTTGGACTAACAAGATAATTAAGTAGTTGTCCATCATAAGGACAAACCTCTGATGTGAGGTATAGTATAAAAATCCAAACCAAAAACCTAACAGACATCGAATTGTTCTTTTTCTCCTTTACCTGATGAACTTTGGTCAAGATGGTCTTGTTTTCCATCGGCTGCTTCAACTTTTGCTTCTTTGGTAACTTAAAATAACAAAAAATGTTGTAATGTAAAGTCATTTGTAAAGAAAATTCGGAAAATTTTTGTTTTCTTGGTTCTTTAAGATATTTGTGGGTTTTTCCCTGGACGTTTCCATTTTAATACTGAAATAATGAACAGACTGAAAAACTTAGAATTTAAAAATTTTCCTTAACTCGTTTTTGCTATTTGGAGCTTACCAAATAATTCTTCTTCGAATTTTCGTACAAATATTGAATTTACAAAACTAACTTAGTCCTTTCAGTCCATTTCTGACGGTCTACTGACTTCTTTGCGTCGCAAAGTTTTTGACGCACCAGTCCAAGGTATTTTGCTGTTCAAAACTAGACAGTGTCAAGTTCTGCTGCTCTCTTAACATTAGACTTGTATACTTTTCAAGAAATAGATAGATAGATAGATAGATAGATAGATAGATAGATGAAAACACAAGTGTTAGTGAAGTCTACTTTGCTCTTTGAACGCTTAGTTGACAACTTGTTATTATTGAAAAAGTGCGAAAAATAATTTCCTAGCGCGACAAGACTATAAATTTTTCGTTTTAATTAATAAAAAAAGCTTGCTGAACTATTTTTAGAACAGTTAGTTTGATTGTTTTGTTCATATCGTGAAAAAGGTAGAAGTAATTCATCATTCATTATGGTGAATGCCCTGAAGTATAATCATTTGTCTCACGATGTGGCCAGTTCAAATGCATATTATTTCTACAGTTGTTAAGAAACCCTCACTAATTTCGCGAAATTTATCAGAAAAAAATTATCTATGATATAGCGTCATACACATTCAACTCACGCTTTCTACTTGTACCTGTTGATTTGTGACCAGCGACATCAGACTCCTTCTTGAATACAACTTGACATTTCTCTATGTCTAGGGATACTAAGCAAAATAATTTTTTCATTCTGAGTTCAGAGTGTAAAGTACACTAACTCGACTCGCTTACTGCGGTTTGATTGTTTCTTTTTGCTTCATATTCAGTGATCAGTTGTTTGTTTATTTTCATACGCTTCTTGTTCCAGGTCACTTCCCTTCTTAAAAATCTTGAAAACTTGAGAGGCGCAATTTATTTGCTGTTTTTTTCCCTTACCTGAAGAAAGCTCGTCAACCAAATCCAGTTTTTCTTGGATTTCCGGGACGCTACTTTCTGACATACCTAAAATAGAAGTCACCTCAGTGTTAGCGTGACTCTTCTGCAAATGAAACTGTGAATGCGACTGCTTCAAGACTCTTTCGGCTCGAAAAACGAAGATGATCTGAAGGTCTAAAATGTTGTGGACTAGTTACTATTATTATCTTCGACGCGTTCCTCAAGGCACACACTGTTTTGGCAACTCAAATTTGGATTTTCAGACCTGTTTTTTTTTTTATTCGAGAGTCACCAACCGTTGTTGGTTTATTTAATTTTACCATTATTATTATTATTATTATTATCGCGGACTCCTCTGGAAATATAATCTGTCGTTCGTTTATCTCACATTCTTTACATGTCGCTGAAAATTTAAATCGATTTGGAATTTGGTAAATGAATAAAGGGGGTAACTTTTTAAAGAAACTGTGGTGCTGCGTCGGTGGGAGAGTATAACAGGGTAATTTAGTATTTTCAACCGAGTTGATAACGTAAATTAGCCACCGTAGTTATCAACTCGGTTGATAATACTAAATTACCCTGGAACTTGGTAAACCACTTTAATTGAAGAGGACAATACGGATTTTAGGTGGTTACTTTAACTTCAAGTGAAACAGGGAGTAAATAGAGAACAACACATGACAACAACAGAATTACCGTGAAAAGTTACTAGGAGATCAAAAGACATTCTCAAAATTCGAAAGAAATTTAAAACGAAAATTGTGACGTTACTGTTCAAAGTTCCATTTCATGAATCAAAGCTTTTTAATGCAGCCCATAAAGTTTGCAAAACTAATACTGGTTAAGTCCAATATTTTTATTTGTTTGTTTCATGGTTTTTTTTTCCTGACTGAGTTTTGGAACTCTATCGATGATGAAACCTCATCGGTAGTTGCTGTTTATAATTTTCATGAAGATGGATAAAACTAATTTAAAATGAATGGTACGCTTTCCAAATGCATCGGATAATTAACACTTAACTCCCAAGATCTCATTGGTAATTCTCCTTACTGTCTGCCATACAGTTCTTGTGATGTTAGTTTAGAGTATTTGGTATTGAATCAACCTTTAATCCCCTCATTGATATTTTACTTTATTCTCATCACTTTTCTGCTTGATGTTGTATTGATATTGTAAGGAGAAATTCAGTCTTGGTCACTCATGGGAGTTAAAGGGTTATATAAGCGAAGAAATTCCGCACGGTGTCAAGGCAGATTTATTTACCAGTTGGTTTTTATGTGATGTACATTGCGCGCCGTAATTTCAAATTAAAAACAAAACAAAACCAAAAAAAAAAACAAACAAAGACAATACCAGCACGCAAATATATCTTTCTGCGTTATTACTATCAAAATTAACATAATGGCCGCTTAATTTATCGTCAGTCAGTACCGTTGACCACAGATAATTTTCACCACGACCGTTTTTTCATAAAAAAAGCCGCGAAGGTGTCGGCTGGTTCTAAAGTTCAGTGGATAGCCTGCGCGTACTACCTCTAACATCGTAGCAAAACAAGCGGTTAGGTCCGCAAGGTGTGAAACCTGTAATTTCTCTTCCATTTGTTGATGGAAACGCCGTGATAGGAATTCATTTTTATTCTCGTTAAAAATTAAATCTATTTGTCCGTCTTTCCACCAAGTGCATGCTGCAATTTGTTGAAATATGTTTTCTCTCACCTGAGGAACTCTCGCTCTTCAGACCTAGTTCTTCTTTTGATTCCAAAACTTTATCTTCAGCCATAACTAGGAATAAAACAGAACCAAACTGGTTTGCTTTGTGTCACTGATATTCGTTTGAAAACGATTCTGAATGAAAAGGTAAAACAGGAGAACATGTCACAGTCAAAAAACCTTCGGGAAAATTTTAAATGTGTCCTTTAATGGTTGATTAACCTTAACCAACAAGGAAAATAATCAGGATAGATATCAAAATATTTTGTTGGACCCTCTGAGACTGAACATGTAGTCCTTAGCTTCAGAATAAGGAATCTTCGACTTCCAACAGTTTCCCAGTAGCGCTCTAACTTGCGACCGTCTCGTTCGCCATGGTGAGTAGGATAAAGAACAACTTTAAATTGGGCACCCGAATTTGTACGTATGGTCGTCAAATTGTCTATTTGTGTTCCAACATATTTAACTTGTGTGTTGGATAACGCTAAAATCAATGTACTACAACTAAATTCTTACCTCAATCTCAAAGAAAAAATGCTTGGAAAAATATATCTGCGATCAAACTTTCTCTAGCAGCTGATTCTAGATGAAAACGTAATTGTCTCTAAAATGAACATGTAACATGCACAGTGTTCTTGTACAGACAGGCAGTTATATGGAGATTGCATGTCATTTGAAGAAAACAGAGCTGGAAACGGAAACCAGAATTTCTGGTTTCATTTTCGAATGTCATGATTTTATTACCAGAAAATTTTAAGCTTTGCTTTCAAGACGTGAAAGCCACTGAAAAGCGTGTGGATTTCAATACACGCGGGTAACGACGGTTGATCAACACGATCAAGATGCGCTGCAGCTGTGTGGTAAAGTCAAATGCAACTCCCCTGCTCCCTGTGCCAGAAGTACTTGCTACCTATATTACCCTTTTACACCCTGACATTAAAATTCTTATTCTCCACACTGTTCTCAATGCATTTCCTGTAACTGACAAGGAGAGTTTGTTTATTGATCAAGAACTTCTTAAGTCTGTGATTATTGATTACCTTAATCCGCGCTTTCAATCGGCTTCTGTCATCCTATGTCTGTACTGAAAATAATCACATATCATTCAGGCCTTTTATCTGTGACATGCATGAAAAAGAAAATCGATGATTTACGCTGGCACTTCCACAGGGAAATTAACTGGTGGGATGCCAGTATTAGTCTTCCCCGAGTAACGAAAAAGCTCTGAGCTTCAAAGGAATTCAGGAAGGAGCAACGACAGGAATCAAGTAAACAACGGATCAAAAGCTTTCAGATTCCTCTACGAGAACGACGAATGCACCAAAATGTACCCTGCTCCCAAAATGTGGCTTCTTAGCTCAGTTGATAGTAGCGCCAGAACTTTATTGATTCACCATATCTTATTTGTCCATTTAGTAACTGAAATACCCTGCACATTTTAAAACGATAACCTGGCGGAACAAAGTCACTCTAAAAGTCTCTCAGACGATATTTGAACATTCAATAATATTTTTTTTTTAAATTCTTGAAATGATATACGATAGAAATAGTAGAAATAATTTTAACAACGACTATCAGCTCCTTTCTCGGCTCAGTTAAAAAAAAATTATGTAAAACTGATTCAAATATGAATTATTTTCCTGTCCATTCAAATCAAAGGCTCACTTTTTATCAAAAAAATTTGTCCATGTTGTAAACAGCCGTGCTCGTCGGTATGTTCAGATTGATCGCCGGCGGGCAAATTGAGTTTTCTACTGAGCACTTTAATTGAAGCTTTTTGAGAATTTTTCTCGTCGCAAAAATTAATTTCAATTCCGTCAAGACTAAAAAATCGTCCGCGTTCAGTCGCCATTTTGAACGCAATTTCGCCCAGGGGACTTAACGTTTTTCAATGTCCCGGGTTTTTTTCGAAAACCGTGTGGACAACGCGTGCATATCTGGAAATTGCAGGGGCGCTGATTACTCATTTTATTAAGGTTTGTGTTTTATTTAGGGCGTTCGGACGAATTTTGTTTTTTTCTGATCAATATTAGTTAATGAAATGCTCTATTTGGCGGGGACGAAATGGAGAAGTTTACCGATACTTGGATCAGAAAGATGCGTTTACATCTAGCCTGGTAAGACTTGCACTTTTACTTTATAACAAAATGCAGGTTAAGAGCAATCTTACAGCTACATAAGCTTCCATTGAACTCACAAGGCTCTTTTACTTTTACGAATGCACAATTGGTGTGATGTTATTTTATAATTAATAAAATTATGTTAGCTTCAAACTCATCGTTGATGCAGGAACCTGTTAGAAAACGGGGAAGTCAGATCACTAAGCAGCTTAGGAAAATAACACTGACAAAACAGAAAATGTTTCACAGGTTCTTACACCGAGATAACCAGCGGGAAAGTGGAGGAACATACCTTCCCTGGTTCAAACGTACTTTGAAATTATTGTAGCCAAGCTAGAATTGTGCGAGTCATGATGCTTCCTGATTAGCTTACTCACTTACCAACTTACAACACTCCTCGACACAGTCGTGAAAGTGACTATATCGGGTGTTTGGGCAAAAAAAAAAAAGAAAACTCCTAGTGGGGCCTGCACTCCATTATGTCACGCAGACTTCATTTTGGCATGTCACGCAAAATTTGTAATTTTAATTGACATGATCCGATTCATGATCCATGATCCGGTCCGTGATCCGATCCTTGATCTGATCCGTGATCCGACCCTTGCTCTGATCCGTGATCCGATCCGTGATCTGATCCATAATACGGTCCGTGAACCGATCCGTGATCCGATCCGATCCGATCCGATCCAGATTTTATCGACGCCGAATGAATATAAAGCCTAGCCTCATTCTGACGAGCAACTCAACATGGCGGCTGCACGTGGGAGAAGTGGAAGTGGGCAAAGCCTGGAAGATCTCTTGGGTAACGAAGGCACAACAGCTACTTTCGTTTTCAACGCTATTATGACCGCAGCAGCTCAGCCACTAACATGTGTTCGACTTCTGGTGCAGGTAATGGACTATAAATGTCAAATGACACAGTGATATTTTACTTTGATACTTTACCGGTGTCCAAGCGGATATTTACCCTCCGGTCCAAATCCGCTGGCGGATTTAGACCCCCTTCCCTCAACAAAACAGTGAAAACATCATCCTTAACATTCTATTAGAAATAGATAATACTTTACGTTGCAGAGTATATTAAAGTTTGTTTTAATTCAAAAAATGCGTATTTATGTTACCCTCTTCTCAGCATGCCGTCACAATCTAGGATTTTCGTTAACGAGAATGAAATGGCTTAACTCTGGTATAAAAACGAGCCGTGAAACTTGAAAACGTTTGATTTTTGTTATTCTCTCGAAAAAGGTGGGAAATATGAAATGATAGATATGCTAACACTAAGTGTGAAACTTCAGTGGAATCCCAATTGCTTGGGTCCTCGATTTGTCGATCGTAACCCTCGATAACTCGAACCAAAAGTCGTTCCCCTTTCCCCAGTCAACCTAATTACTCCAACTGATTTTCATTTCCCATGGAGACTCGAAAAATCGGGAATCCACTGTTCGCATCCTACAACGAAATTCTGCTGCTCCACCCATTACTGTTACATTAAGTTTTTCAATTTTTCGTTAGCCGAGAACGCGCACTAAAATTTACATCCAGTTGTGTTTGTGTTACTTGTTGTATTCCTAATGATTGAAAATAAGTTAAACTAACAATCCTTTTAGGTTTTTTAGTCTAGTTAGTGTTCGGTCGAGTGGATGTTCAATAACCTACAATAGGCTTTACGAACGACTTGTAGTAAGAGTAGTTACTTCGTTCTTGTTCAGAAACTGTTTAAATATGTTATTTATAATACGAAAATCAGACGGAGTTATTTTTTAGACTGGATGCATTTATTGTTATGACCATTCGTATCAATGTTGATTCACATCAGAAGAAGCAAGGATTTATTGCAACAATTTCAATAGTTCAAATGCTGTAGTTTGGTTGCAATTCTTGCATATACTGTACAACTCGCTATAATGAATGCAGTAGAATTGGAATAAAATGGCTAATTATTTTTATCTCTACTGAAGAATTTTGCGTTGTGATTGAAAAGAACATAGACAAAAAGCTTGTACATAGAATAAGGTACCTAATGTGATACAAATGATGCTAAAAGGAAAGTTTGGGTCCAAATCTGCATGGGGGGGTCCATATCCGCTGAGACACTGGCACCCAAAGTTCAACTTAATGTTTGCGTGACATCTCTCAGTATTCATATTTCTATCCTGTGGAACCTCCTTCCTTCATTTTAACAGGGAATTTTTTGGTACAAAAGTAGTATAATTGCTTCTTTCCACACCAATATTTAAATATTCATGAGAGGGAACAAATACATTGGGCCAATAGGTGTTCACCGAACTTGAGGCTAGATGAGGACAAATGTCCACAGGAGACAAAACTTCCTCTATAAACTAAAAACAAAACTCTCTCTTCTTACTTGCTCTGAAAATATCATCAGGGGTAAAATACATACAAATTCGAAGTGAGGGAGTGGTGCTTTCTCCCAATATAATGGGCTCCATGAAGTTGAGGGGGGGGAGGGGGTAGTGAGGGTAGTAGAGTGCATAGTAATGTGATCAACATGATCATAGCAAAAAGAACAGCTGGAGTTTGTTGATAAAAAGGAGAAGTCTACTCCTCTGGTGGTCTTCATTTTGAATCAGTAAGGTCTCGCAGCTACAGCTGTAGGTAACTCAGGTCAGATATTACACCACTCGTGGTCTTAGCCTTACAAATGAATTAGAGCATTGTTTTAATCAGTAAAATGTAGCAGGTTTGTTTGGTTTGGTGCTCAACATCAGATCAGCAGAGGCTGACTTATTTTCAGACATTAGATTGGTATTTTGGCAAACCTGATGATCTTCTCAAATACTGAACTTTATTACCCTTTACACTCTAACATCAGAATCCATATTCTCCATACCCTTCTTTATACATTTCCTTTGGTACTGACAAGGAGAATTCATTTTAACATTTAAAACTTCTTAGTTTGGCAATCATTTCCTTTTTTTTCACAAATCTCATTAAGTTAGTTTTGAGAGTTTGGTATTGAATCAACTAATATTCCTCTACATGTAACTGATACTTTTCTCTATTCTCATTGCTTTTCTGCTTGATATTGTATTGATACTGTAAGGAGAAATTCTGTCTTGGTCACTTATGGGAGTTAAAGGTTTAATTAGAGGAGGCTTAGAACTTGGGTGGCAAGGCATTGTAAGTGGAAAGCTATCTCCAAAGGTCATTTTAACTTATCACCTGAATTGTATTTCACCTGATACTTTTAGTCACGGAGTGTTTAAAATGAAATTATTTTAAATTTGTGTTAAGGTTGGACATGAACCTATTTCTCCAACTGAGTTCACAACATTTTACCAGTATGGTAAGGAATTTAAGAAGATTATTATTCATTATTTCTTCACACTAATTCATTAAAAGACATATTAAAAAAATACAGCACAGTATTACCAGTACATAAAAAACTACTTAAATGTAAGCTTTGAGGAGATTGATACATGGCTTGCCTTGTGTTTGCAATTAAAGGAATCAAATAGAGTAATTATCAATCAGATGTTGGAAGCAAACTGGGATTGTCTTTTTTTTTACTTTCCTGGTGGTTGGTCTGAAAAACCCCTGCCACCCTCTCAACAAATCAGATGCAAAACTGGAACTTAAATTTCAACTTTCTCACATGTATTTTCCCACACTTCCAGCTGTGCTTTTTTCACTTCAAGTTCTGATTTGGCTCCATGTGATTCTTATTTTAATTTCTGATAAGCCATTTTCTGATCACTTATTGTATTTGGTTATGTGGCTACAGTGAAAAAGCATTATAACTAAATTCAGATTAGTTTTCTGGCAAATGACTTACAATTGTCCTTTGCATTGTCTTGAAAACAATCATGATGGACAGTTTCTGTAATATAGATTTATACTTTTTTGATCAGCATGTGAAGATGACAACACAATTTCTAGTTGATAATATGTATTTACATAGAGTGCAAAGGCACTCTAGAGCTATTGTTGAAAAAAAAATAAACACCAAGATACTCATGGTAATCAAGAAAAGTAACCTATTTGTTCAGGTTTCTTTGTTTTTTTACCTCCTTATCCTGCAGCATGTTATGTAAAGAAGATAAATGTATGGCATGGACTCTACAGAGGATTGTTGCCAAGGTAAACTATATATATGTTGTAATCTTGTAACCTATTTGTTCACCTTTGATACGTTTGTTTTGACCAACTCATTAAGGACGGCCTTAAAATGTTTTTTTACCTCTATTTGTTGAGGTTTCCTGCAGTATGCGTGTTGATTATATTGAAAAGATAAATGTATGGCATGGACTCTACAGAGGATTGTTGCCAAGGTAAACTATATATGCTTTGGTTTCCAGAGTTTGTTGTTCAGGAATAAATTTCATTTTTGTAACTAGCGACAGCTTGTCTTGGATTCATTTATTGAGAAACCTTGTTGATAACCATTTTCAGCAAGAGATCAGAAATAAACCGGTTTGTTACAGGTTAAATACTGTAATGACAGGAGATTTACACAGACACCTAACATGGTTACATATACATTATTCAGCAAGAGATCAGAAATAAAAATGTTACAGGTTAAATACTGTAATGACAGGAGGCCTCAGTCCTTGTTTCTAAGCAAAAACATCAGGTCATTTTAACTTGTTTGTATGGGATTAGTTTCTAGTAATTAAGACACCTAGTGTTTTAAAGTGATTCCTCAGGCACTGCACATCCCATCCTGTGTAATAAAGTCATGTCATCAGGGGAATTCCAAGATCATGATATTGTTTTTCAATAAATGGACCAGGTAAAGAGGCTCTCTTGTCTTTAGCTCTTAAACTAGCATGGTGACTTATATTTTTTGTTGCAGAATTTTGGTGAATAAATTATCCCCTTTTAATTAGAGAAATTAAAAAAGAAATCATTGAAGGGAAAAAAAGATGGTTAAAACCATACAAAAGGCCCATTACTCAATGATGAAAGTTATGAGCTTTAAAGCAATCACTCAAGGAACGTTTTTTCATCTAAAATTGCATGATTTTTCCACAAATTATGTATCAAATTGTTTTATATTATGCATCAAATTGTTTCTACCTATCAAGTTTTTTTCAAGCTTTACTTTAAAACCCTTGCCTCCAACTACCTCAAAATGTATTTTGAACCAATGAAATGATGCATATGATTAGTGCCTGTACAGGCATTTGTGGAGTATAAATTTGGCTCATCATATCTCTTACACAAGCACTGAGTGATCTTTCTTTTGAAATGTTTTTTTTCCAAACAAACATTGGTAGGAAGAATTTAAGGAAAGTTTAAAAGAAATTTTTTGATGAGTTTCTTTTTCTGAGGAATCACATTTATTAATTAATGGTTAGTGCGCTGGGCTCCGGTTGTAGAAGTCCACATTCAAAACCTGGCTGGGTCTTTTTGTTGTGATCCTGGGCAAAACAATTCACTCTCACAGTACCTTTCTTTACCCAGGAGTATAAATAGGTGGTGGTTAATTGTCAGGAAAGCCTGATGAAATACAGGGGGTAACCTTGAGATGGACTTAAGCATCCCATTCAGGGGGAAGTAGTAATATTTCTTTTGGCTTCATGCTATGGAAACCAGGATAAGCTGCACCTGGATGGGCCTCATGGCTCTAGTAAAAAAAACTCTATGATGTGTAATTTCTGCCAAAAAAAGTGGGTTAAAAGTAAATAGGTTGATTTGAATGTTGATATTCTATAATAAAAGTGCTCTCACTTAATGTCTCCACATAAAAGGACCTTTAAGTTTGCTCATCAGTAGAGAAATATTTTGTGGGATTTATTTTTGTGTGTTGAAGTATCTGCTCTCTTCTTGGCTTAATTTTATGAGGTGTAAGTCCTTCTAATCTCCAAGGTAATTTTCATGATTTTTGGGAAACTTTATTTCTGGTATTACATTAATTGTTCCACTATAACTGTTGTTAGGGTCTACTCATCATTGATTGGAACTCTTGTAAACAATACAATGCTACAGGTATTACTATGGATTCACTTAAACTATGTTTACCACATTCCTTCTGTAGTTTGATTTTTCCAAAGTATATAATGTGAATTTCTTACCTTACATCATGCAATTGTGATATAGTCTTATGTGAATTGTGTATTGAATAGGCTATGGATAAAAAAGACAATGCCCTTGTCCCCCTGGTTCCTCCAGAAAATAAGGTGGGGTTGCTCTTTTTTATTTTAATATGTTATAATTTATCTTAATTAGAATGATTTGAATGGTACAGCTCTGTATGTTAATTTGTTTTTCTCTGTTTCTTCTTGAAATTTTTAGAGCAGGCGAGAAGAATTGCTAGAGTTTTTTGAAGAGGTATTTTGACCAATTTTTCTCTTACTCCTTGCTTAAATGGGGGTGCCGGAATCTGACTTTTTAGAATATATATTATTTAGCACAATGGTTTGTACACCAAACTCTGGACTGAGGGGTATGGGTATGGGTTTGAACTTTGAATAACTCTTTACACCCTAACATCAGTATGCATAATCTCCATACTGTTCTTTGTACATTTGCTAGGGTGCTGAATGGGAGAATTTGTTTGATAATCAATAGCTTCTTTAGTTGGTGATCATTTCCTTCATTCTTGTGACCTTGATATTTGATTCAGGGTGATATTGTAAGGAGAAATTAGATGCTAGTCACTCTTATGGGTCAACGGGTCAAGGAGGTGTCTGTCAGACTCTGACACACTTTGCTACCTCTTAGTCAATGCATGCATGTATCGGAGGAATAATTATAAATGGTTACCTGTAAACTGTCAGGAAAATGTGATGGAATGCAGGGTGGGGGGTTTATTGTGCAATGGATCAGGATCATATCCATAGGTTAAGTAGCCATACTCCTAGTGGATTTATGTGTTGAAAGAAAGGATAAGTACTGAAGGCCTGGTCTGGGTCACTTACCTCAGTGTTGATGTTAAGACTAACAAATTTTTTTTTTCTATTAAGACCTGTGTACAGGCTGTGGCAAAATGCAGTGGTATCATTATCAGTCACCCATTTTATGGTAAAGTAACAAAACTGAACCTTAGATCATAATGGCTAGAATTTCAATTGAGGGTGAGACATCTAGGGCTATTAATTTCTAGGTAACAAAATTAAAGTAGATAAGTAGTCTATAATTTCTGTAATTTGTATTTTTATTTATTTATTTATTTATATATGTTTTTAGCAAATATTGATTGACCAATGACACCTCTCTAATTTAATTTCAAGTGATCTCAGTCAGAATGATGGTTCAGTTTGTTGGTCAAGAAACTATTTACAGGTCAGTTCTTTTTCCACATTCTGCTACATTAATTTTCATCTCCATTTGACAATTTTTAAATTTTAAGCGTACTTTTTTCCTTGAATTGGCAGATTTTCTCAAAATTTACTCACTTTTCAAATTCAACTTACTATTTGGAGATGTAATGGCACCTTTTTTATTGTTTTAACCTTTAACTCCCAACATTTGATTGTTAAATCTCCCCTCCAGCTGCAACACATATCATTGGGAATTAGTTATGAGACTAATTTGGTGTTAGATTAAGATAATGACTTCTGCCCAATAAGTTTCAATATTCTCATTACATGTTTGGATAATGTATGGAAATTATAGAGAGAAGTTATGTGTTTATTACTTCTGGGAGTTAAAGGGTTAAGATATCCTACACACAAGGATGATAAGTTGAATGTTCCTTTCATTACTTGAATGTGCCAACCATGGACAAGACTTGTACATGTACATGTTAAATATCTTTATCTTATTGCCAGTGTGTTAATAAATCTGTTTTCAGTGGACTATGTGCATCAGTTAAAGAGATCTATAACAATGAAGGACTTGGTGGATTTTTTAGGTAGGAAATGAATGTTCTGTTACTGACTAATTATGGCATTAAAATTAAGAAAACTTATATTTCATGTTTTTTATCCTTTGTGACTATGATTTGAATCGTTATGTAGTTTCTTGCAATAATCATCAGTTTTTTTTCTAAGTGGAATAATTGAAAAGTTGAATCAGCAATAGTTGCACTCTTGGCTGAAAATCAATCAAATGTAGCCAAGTGGTCCAGGCACAAAATGTAGCTTGAACAAAAGAAGTGTTACTTTTAATTAGAAATTTCTCATTCAGCAAGTACTTTGCTTAATTCAAAAGCAACTATTAACAATGATAGTGGCTTTGCAAAGAAGAGTTTTGTGGCTATTGGTTGAGAAATAATTCAACTAGGAATCACCTAACAATAGTATTTAATTTGTGTCCTGTTAAATGTCATCTATTGCTGTCAACAGTGGTATCATTCCTCGTCTTGTTGGAGAAGTCCTGTCCCTTTTGTTATATCGAGGAGTTTGCTTCTTGGTCAGCAAATATGCTATTGACAGTGAGGCAAGTCTTATCAAATCAAAAATTAATATATATGATTTATTTGTACTTTTTCACCAGATGCATATTTGTCTGTAACCCAGTACTTAAAAATGATAAAATTAAGTCACATTCTTCACATGTTTTTCATGCCTTCATTGTATTTCACATCAAAATTTCACATGCATGTCAAATTTGTCATTTGGAAAGCAGGTTAAAGGCATTTGAAAAGCAAAAGAAAAATATTATACCTTCCACATAGTAATTCACACACCTTTTAAAAATTTCTTGAAGCCTACATCATAAAAAACTGAGACTTGCAATGTGCATGTGCTTTAATTTACAACCTTGATGGTGATTTGTGATTCAAGATAAACAAACAGGTGGTAAACCTTAGTCCATCTCTAAAGCACTTGTTATTGATTTTGAAGACAAAAGATAAATTTCTTAAGTAGCATGATCATCCAACTGACTACAGCTGTCTAGTTTGATTCATGCTGTGAGATCAGTAGATAATATCATTTATTTGTATTCAGCTTTATCAGCAAGTTAATGTGATAATTAAGTAACAGTATGCCTTGACAAACCTGCCAATGAAGGAAAAACGATTTGTAAATTTGCAGGTCGGCAGAAGTAAAGAAGTACAAGTGTATAGATATGTACTTTTCCAGGTATAGCATACCTGATAGACATCTTTAATTTGCCCCCAAAAAATTTCATCACCTTTTGAATCAAAGAAGAAGCACCAGTATTTGGAAAAAGTATGGATTTATTCTACATATTGATTCATTATCAAATTTAACAAAATCCACTTGGGCTAAGGATCTTACCACTTTTTCCCTCATAAGATAAGTTCTATGTAATATGTCATGTTTTAACTCAAGTTATCTGGTATAAGGGCATCACATGTACAGTAATTTGAAAGACCAGTCCCTACTAAACTTATAATAGAAGATGCATGTTTTGAATTATTTGGATACGTCGCTACTTTTAAATAATCATATTATTGTACAAACCAACCAGCTAACATGACTTATATTTTGCAAAACCCGGATCAGCAACTGATCCTTTCAAAACAAGACGTTGAAAAAACGAAAGTTCGTTCGGATCATTGATGAAGGTAACACCTGGCAACTCACTAAGAATGATGAGCGGATCATGTTAATTCAAATTAGAAATTTTGCGTTCTTCATTGCTTTATTTGCCATGATTATTATCATTATCATTGATATATTTTCTAAGTCTGATGAGGATTAATACATGACTGATGGGTGTTGCGCTCACAGCATGTCAAAATTAGATTTGTCGTAAACGCGCATGTAATTACTTCTCTGATTCCCAACCGTGCCTGTAGAGCAAAACCGGTGATTTTGAAAACGTTTTGAAGTAGAATGTGTTTAGGAAACCAGGGTAATTTAGTCTCCATCGTGTTAGTCACCAGATATCTCGCGCCTGCTCGAATCAGCCGAATCGAAAGGTCTTGGTTGAAACCTTGTGTTATGTGCTTTGGTGAGAAAATTCAACATTCACAATAACTCTCCGCCAGGTGTTTAAATAGTTACCGGTGAACTGTCAGAGAAATCTGACAAACTACTTAAGGGTGCCCCACCAGAAGAAGAAGAAACGAGGCTCTTAGTACATGTGCCATCATACCACAGATACCGGAACATACGTTAATGGCTGTGGGAGTTATAATTAGTTTCGTGTGCGGGGAATAAATAGCCTTTATCTCAAATTGCTTTTCACTTTCTCGAAGGATGTTGAATGTAATGTTTCTTCTCTGTATTAGAATGTAAACTTTTATTATCTCCTGATGGAGTTCTTTCGATATAGATACCGTTCTTAAGCATTCATAGTAAACTGATGTGCATACTTAAAGAATGATGTGAACGTTTTAGAAATCAATTCATTTGTATCTCGAAGTTTGGTTCTCTCTTTAGAACAACATCAAGCATAGAATGTGAACTTCTCGAAGTAAGAAATTCGAGGGAGGAAAAAGAAACCGGACAACTTTTAACCTGGTTAGTAATTCAGTTAACCTCTTCCGCCCTAAAATCAGTATGCATATTCTCCAAACTGTTCCCTATACATTACCTACGGTGCTGATGAGGAGAATTTGTTTCATAATCCAGAGCTTCTCTGGTTGACCATAACCTTTATTCTCATGACCTTAATGTGTGATTTGGGGATGATATTGTGAGGAGAAATTAGATGCTAGTTACTCTTAGGGGTTAACGGTTTACCCTTTTACTCCCAGATCTCACTAGCAATTCTCCTTACTGTCTGCCATATTCTTGTTAACATCTCACTTTGTTATATTATTTATTGCATAATTTCATTTTATTTCTCATTATACAACTGACAATGGATGATGCTTCATCCGAAACATGTCTTGTTTTCATTAAAAAAAATATTTAAAAAATGAACTTCAAAAGCATCGTGTGGTTGATCAAAGCGATATAAACGTCTTTACTTGTCTTCACTAGGTGCTTTTTCTACCTTTATTGATTTACTTCATCAATTTGCCTTTGTTGTACTTCATTTTTTGTCAAGTATCTCAGCAACAGTTCGCAGCCGAATTCATCAAATTATGACCTGTATGGCCCCTCACCTGCTCGTTCCTTTTACACTCGTATTAGAGTCTGACGCGATGGGGCGCTAGGGCCGGGAAAAGGTGTAAGGCGAAGCGAGAGGTGGTTTAATGAAAAACTGCTCTTTGCCCGAGTTAGGTGGGGCTGAACGAGAAATTATTTGGCTCTCTGCCAAGCCAAATAATTTCTCGTGCGGCCGCCCACACTGATGGACTGAGTGGTAGGACAATGATATTAGTTTGGAGATTTGAAATTGGATCAACTAATGTTCCCCTAATTGACACGTTTTCTTTATTCTCATCACTCGTCTGCCAGATATGGTAGTAAGGAGAAGTTCTGTCTTGGTCACTAATGAGAGTTAAAGGGTTAAGCGAAGAAATTCCGCACGGTGTCAAGGCAGATTTATTTACCATGCACCTGCTTTTTATGTGATGTACATTGCGCGCCATAATTTCTTATAAAAAACAAAACGAAACAAAACAACCAAACAAAAACAATACTAGCATACAAATGTATGTACGACTGATGTGCTGTGAACGCGTAAATCTGGATTTAACGGACTGCAAGTAGAAACTAACCGGGTCGAATGAAAAAAAAAAGAAATTACATATTCCCTTACTTTAGAGCGCTTTTGGTGTGATTAATCTTTTTCTTTGTTTCTGTTGATAATAAAACACTGGTGTCAAAGAGTTACGTAATGGTTATCGTACATGAAAATTCATCTAACCTATCTATTATAGCGATGTTTTAGCCTGACAAATATTCCCATAACTTCGACATATTTCTAGAGAATATCTTGAAGTTGATTAAAATGGCAAGCCTAAAACTATTATTGCTAGGATTAAGCTGATAAAAAAAATTATCTGCTATTTTCCTTTTTTCGTTCGCAGCCGAAAAAAACGATACATTTTTGGATATTACGAAGCACTTATTTAAAGAAAGTCGTACATGTACTCTCATAACATTCTTTTTTCTTCAAGGGCAGGGTCAAGAATAGAATGAAAGCAAAAATTTGGAAATCAAGAGATACAAGGGAGGAAAATGAAGATGGAGGGAAGCATCCAATAAGGTTTGTTATTTAGTTTGTGACGACTGATTAAGTTATGTATAGTTTATGGGGCTGGTTTGCGTCCAGTAAACTGAACATTTTATTTTGCTGAAAACAAAAATATTTCGTAGTTTCTCCATTCCCCAATCTATTCGATGTCTGTTTGAAGGAGATGACTTGCAGTACTGTTTGAAGAAGTGACAATACTGCAGGCAGATACTTTGTTGATGGTAAACATTGGTATTGAAGAAATTCTTTGTCATTGTCTGTAATGTTATAATTAAAAGAAACTTGCGCGTGAAATATGTTCATAGAAGTCAATTGTCAATCAATCAAACATTGTCGATGATGTTAAACTTTTTCAACCTAAAATTCTGTTCGTTTTGAAGGTTTTTTTGAGATCTTTTAATGTGATCTTTCAGTAAGGGGCGTCCTGAAGAGAAATTTGTCGTTATCCGAAATCGCTTTTTCGAAAACTTGAGCAGAATTTTTGATAACAGTCAAATAAATTTTTTTTCCGAGAAATTGCCAAAAGTCTGGGCAGTTTTTCTAAAGATCATCGATCAACCCCCGAGCAATTATTAAGAGACGTTGCCCTTTACCGACAAGTTGCTTGACGAAAAATCCTTAATTTTTACACCACCTAAAGCTAAGCTATAAGGACTCTAATAAGACCAATAGTGCTAGTTTAAACATACTAGATGGCTTATCTGACGAAATAAAGCTAACCGTGTGCGTTTTATGTTACTGATGAATTTCTTTATTGGATTTGCAGAGTCGGAAGATGAGGATGAAAACAGGGACTCAAAGAGGATTGGAGAATTGGAATGGGAAATGCACAGAGAGATCAATGATGAAGAACTCGGCAAACTGTAAGTTGTTTGACTAACTTTGCAGTACGAAATTAGAGAACGATGCCAAAATACTCATTAGCTTGACTATCCAAAATATTCTGATGATAACAGCGTTGTTACAAAAACTACAAAGGTAGAAAACAACAACCATTGTAAAGTATGTTTTCCGATGTACAGTAACACAACTTTCAGGGAATGTTTTCTGCGCTGAATAAATTTAACGAAAAATCCTCCTAAGGTTAAAGAATGACCAATCACATTTTCCAGTCGAGAGGAAGTCCCAGCTTAACCTCTTAACTCCCATGAGTGACCAAGAAAGAATTTCTCCTTACAATATCTATACAATATCAAGCAGACAAGTGATGAGAATGAAGTAAAATGTCAATTGGGAGATTATAGTCGATCAAATACCAAATTTTCCGAGCTGACATCATGAAAATTGGTTGGCAGACAGTACGGAGATTTACTAATCAGATCTGGGGGTGAAAAGGTTAAATTGATTGAACGGCTGTTATTCGAGAGCTAGTGAACCAGTTAAAAGGTCATTTCAAATAAAAAAAGTTCCTAGACAGATAATTAGTCCCTAAATTTTGTAAATATTTTCAAGTCAAACATTTAAGACAAGTCACTGAAAACCGTTTCAACTCAGAAAATTTACTTTCTTAACCATTCACAGAACTCTTTGGATATCAGGTAGTCTCAGATCGACTGGGTTAATGTAGTTCTCTCTTAAGATAAAGTCTTTTAAGTGAGAGATCACATAGTTACAAAACGAACATATTTAATTTTCTTTGAAGAGCTTTTAACAGATAATGAAAACTACCAAAAGATTTACCAACTTAAAATATCAACTCCCTATTGCTATGATTGGTTTTTTTAATATGTGGTGAACATAAGTTATTTTCATATCACTTGAACTCAATAACACTCAACCGTGATGGGTAAGCTAAATATTAATAAACAAATGGCTGTGACAAATGAATTTTAACGCCGTATGGTTCCCAAACGTAAACGTTGTTGGTATGCACAAAATAGTTACCGTGATTTTTTTTTCTTTGTTGCCGAAGATCATTCCAGTTGTCACCACTCTAATATTAAAAAATTAATTAAAAGTTATACGCCTTCACATTATCGAAGAGAAGTTTCTGGCTTGTGAGCTAATTCCGAGAATCATGATGGTTTTCGTAATTTGTTTACTGCGTTGATTGAATCAAGTGAAGGCACGTGACTGGACGTGTGACTAAGGGAAATCATTCGCTTGAGATTCGTAGTGTTCTCGAAAACAATGAGTTGTTGACAACAACATTATTTCTCATTTTTGGTATTGTTTACCATCCCTTAAAAATAGCTCCGGCCATCCGATGGAATATACTTTGACACAAATGTTTTGGCCGTTACCGGCTATACGTTATGGCGATTCATGAATGTCTTGCGCGATTGTCGCAATTTGTCCGGCACTGGGTAACATATTTTGTGCTTCGACATGCCACAAACATCATTAAAAGTAAACTCTCTACATGGAAAAAGTAATTTGAGCGCCTGCTTTAAATCCTTGCAACTCGTTCGCGGCTAAATGTTTCAACTTTGTTTTTTCTGATCAGGAAGTTGATAATTATAAACATCGATACGAGCTTCGGTTTTTACTTCAAGAATGAGAGTACATTGACTGAGTAATGATTACTCTAGCTTTATGTTCAGTTAACATGCGTGCTGCACACGAGGTTACACGCTAGTGTGCTGTGTCCGCTCGCTCGCTAGCTTTGTATTCGAAGGTTAACACGCTTTGCGTGTTTGCCTGCTCGTGCTTCATTTTTCAACAGCGCACGCTGTATTGGTTGTAGGGTGTTATATGAAACAAAAGCATATGCACATTTAAGTGTGCTCTAGCGTACTCAGCAAGCGTGTTCGAGCCAGTTTCTTTTTTTAAGTAGAAGTGTGTTGTGAGCATGCTATTACCTTTGTCCCTATACTCATACAGAGGGTCATTTCATTGAAGGTATCCATTGTCGCATACAACTTCTCTCTTCCTAGAAATACTTTTGTGAGCGTATCACAGTACAAATAAGAGAAGCGAGTCAAGTAAGATTGTGAACTATATCCTGAAAATTCTACAAAGCAGTAACTATCGTTTTACGCTTATCATATTGATGAATGTAACTTGGACTTCATAGAGATAAGCCATTTTTTAATTGCACCCATGTTGCCGATTATAACGTTTTGAAAGAGAGATTTTCAGTTGGTTTTTAGTTGAGAGACATACTTTCCACAAACATCACCATACGTGTCTCTGCCAGCAATCTGCGTCGAAACAGAACATTTCGAATGAGTAAGATTGTCGACCGTTGCTTTAGAATTCTGCAATATTTTCATTAAATATCGGATGAATTTAATCGTTATGAGCTTTTCAAAAGGAGTTTTCACTTGAGAGATTGCAAGATGTTTCTTTTGGCACTTAAGCCGTTTACTAGCAAAAACAGGAGATTTACGCGTCGACACTTGTGCAGCAAAATCAAGGCCATTCTTGGTTCTTACATTTAAATGAAACGATTTGAAGAAGGGATCTGTTAGTACAGGTTAATAGGATTTTATTGTGTTTTAGTTTATTTTTGTTTTTATCCGAAGAGTTTTTGCGGTTTGTTTAGGGAGAAAGTACTTAGCTAATGAAAGCGGATTTTTCTAACCAACAAATGCAAACACGTCCTCCTTTAACAATGGATATGATACTTACACTGTAGGAGCATACTTGTTACATTAAACTGTTGCTAAGAAAAATTAAGTCTAAATAGTTTAAAGAGGCCGGGAATGCAAAACAACAGACTGAGTCGAAAAAGCAGAACAATACCTTTGAGCTCTAAAGATAAATTTTACAATTTTTATGCATTGAGAATGTAACTTTTCATTCCAAGGCAGCCACTGTTTCGAGTAATGCATTTTTCATCAAAGGAAATAAAAAACGTTGCAGCAAGGCATGAGTGCACTGCTAAATAAAGCGAAGGATTGTAATCGACATCCAATATTTTTTTAGGATTTTTTGCGAGACTCATTTCCTTCAATATTTTTCCTACATATAGAAGAATTTTGTTAAATTACTAATGCGTTCCTATAAATCTCTAAGGTCCCGAAGTGCACAAGCTTTCCACCCCTAATGATGGGTGGAAAGTATTTACCTCATTTATCTTTGTATGTTACAGCAATTGAGAGAAGAATTATAGTGTTGAGAACCATTTCTTTAAATTTGGTGTCGAAAGGGGTACGGTGTCTAGCTTTGCAACAGAAGTGGCCAGTGATAAAATCCGAATAGTAACCGAATAGTCATATGGACTAGATCATTGGACCCTTAGACTATTTTTTGGAGCATTTCTTGGAGCATTTTTTGGACTATTTTTTTGGACCATTAGTACTTTAACTTTTTGTCATGTGAATGCGAAACTGGCACCTAAACGCTGGACTATAATTGTTATAGAAAAGATCGCCAACTCCTGTTTTCGATCCTCCTCTGTGAAGTCATGCGTGTGCCTGTTTACTCGACTTGTGCCAGTGCTAAATGATACTCACAGGTTAGTATGAATCATATTTCAGTTGCCTCACGTTTTCCTTTTTGTATGTGCCAAAAAAAGCGAGGAAAAAGCGCGATGGTTTTATAAGTGGTTTCACATCATGGAGTGTAATCCAGCTGTCAATGAAACTCTCTTGACTTATCCAAGCTCCAGATAATAAAATTTCCCGGGAAGAATCGGTCACATTTACTGACTTCTACGTTTTGCCGACGGAAAATATCGGCAAACAACAGTAGCCACCATAGTTCTACTTCGCAGGTTTCGTTGGTTTTTGGGCAAGAAGTGATTGGTAGCGGCCCAGGCAAATTGGAAAACAAACCTTGGGGAGTCGCGAGGAATCCCGGTGTCGGTGATTAACTCGTTTGTTTGCGAATCAGATAAGTAGTACCTCTGTTTTATTTATTTCAGAATGATAGCATACATGTTTGTTACCATATGCCTTTTTTGTCAAACAATCAGTATGTATACACATTTGAATCCAATAAATCTACAAAACAGGACAATGAATATTTTTATTTCATTATCAATTCATTTATTTTTACTAATCACCACTATTCGCCACTATTCGTCACTGTTCGCGACTTTTCGCATTATTCGGTCGCTATTCGGGTTTTCTCACTAGCCAACAGAAGTTCGTTTGAGAGAGATAACGATGTGTTTGTTTTCGGATTATACATTTTTACCCCCAAAGAATTTACCAATATGGGTCAATAGAATTTCTTAATTTCTGAGCAGAGCCTTCGTCCTTTGTACGAGAAAAAATTTTTCTCTATGAAAGGGGCTTTTTGTGATCAAGAAGGACAGGTTTTTAACTCAAACACGGAATTTCTAAACATGGATGGTACGTGTCATTTGAAATTTTAAATATTTAACTAGCTGTAGCTTAAAACCGTTGTCAAACAAATGTATCCATAAATCAGAAAACATTTTAAACGAGGGTCAAGATTAGAACCAAAAAACTCCTGTTACAGAATGTTTAGTTTGTTGCGTTTGTGTTTGTTTTCTATGGCGAGATCTATGTTAAGAATATGTAGTGTGTTCGTTTCTGTTCCCATGACATTCCACTCCTTCATACTAAGTGCGTCGTCGCTTTCGTTTAGCCTTCTGCTTGCCAGGTGATGATTTGTAGGACGTTGTCACGTTCTCTTTGCAAACTGCTGTCTTCACAGCGCAGAGGCGATTTTCCAGGTAAATGTTCTCCATCAAAGCATGAAGTATATTATCACCTTCCTGAAGTGACTGCCTGTTTAAAGACTCGATAGGATTGGTAGTGCTTGGTCCCTGTTCCCAATCCTTGTCGTCCATTTCCTTAAAAGCCCTTGTAAACATGGTCAGGTGATTTACACGGAACCACCATTTACTCCAATGCTCTAGCTTCGTCCAGTCTTTGTTGTGGATGGTGTCAAATTCCGAGACCAACAAATTGCCTTCCTTCTTGTAATTGTCTGGTGCCAGAGAGCGCATCGAAAAGCAACAAAACATTTCTTTTTCGCACTCGTCTTCGATTTTGCTTGCTAGGGCTTTTAATATGCGAACTAGTGTCATTCATGCAAACAAGCCTGCAGGCTCTTTTAACTGATCGCTGCCAGTGAACCTTGCATCTCCTGATCACTTTCCGGGAAAGGTCTTCACCCAGACACTGTTGAATTCCTTTGTATTGTCCATCATCAAAGTCAACCAAGATAGATTTCAAATTCTTGCCATTTGCGAAGCGGGCATGATCAAACGTCACTTTTTTTAAAATCGTGGCGATGGACTTAGCGTAACTCTCACTGTCTTGCCTACTACATATAACTCTTGCTACCGCATTATACACGCACGTTTCGTCGTTAAAAGAAACAACGTTTAGGAGGTATATATGGGAAGAAGTCATTACCAGTAGAAGTAACGTCCATGAATAAATCCTCTGTTGTACTCAACAGTGCAGATTGAAATGGAGCCATGAAGAAGGCATACTTTCTGCAAGAAGTAAAGAGGTACTCGCTCCCTTTCATCTGATATTGACCCATCATCTGGTTGACTTATTCAATCACCATACAACTGGTTGCTTTTCACTTTTTTCCGAATTTTATCGAATCGGAGCACCTCGTCGAGTGGGCGTAGCTCTCTGTAAACAGACGTCCATTTGCCAAGGGCTATCTTCCTCTCTTTTTAAACGCAGTCGGCATTTGCTGCAGGCGAACTAGCTTCGGCTGGGACGTAACCAATTCCAAGGCCCTTCACACTGTCTTTTGTTTTTTTTTAGCTGTCATCGGAAACAACTCTTTGGATGTCTTTCACTCTGCTTGATATGCTGTGTGGAGCTGGTTTGTTGTGATTGTGTCGAGTTCCCGGTACAAGACCAACCATCGCCTTCCATCGTCATTGCAGGGCCATATGTAGACCATATGCAAACTACATGGTGCAGATGAAAGAAGAGATTAATTTTCCCAGTGACGTAAGCATCGATTTATCTTTTGTCTTTTAGAGACCACATACTCACAGTCAGGGCCAGCACAAGTTTTCACGCCTTCACAAGGCCCCCGTCTCACGTACAAGGATGTCTTCTTACCTTCTACAATTATGTTGTTCTTCATTGTTTGCGAGCCTCTTATTGGCAGTTGGTTGTCATCCCAGATAAAATGTGGCCGAGTATTGGCTTCAAAAGGCAACCTGCGCCAATCTCTTAAGGTGGCCAATGGTTTCTGTGAGGACTGTAGGTCAGTCTCGAATCCGGGAAATTCGTATTGATCTTTGTCTGTCAGCTTGTGCCAAGTATCAGAATGCTTCAAAACTTCCTTTAACTTTGGTAGGTGATGGTGTCCACGTCCACTCCTTTTCTTGTAAGTTTGGGTTGTCCAATACACCCAAACTGAGTCCGATGGACCAAGGTCATGAACAACCAGACTCGCCGGAAGTCAGTTCGCGAGAGACTTAGTAAATATACAACAAAGTATAGAGTTGCGGACTGGGTGGAAATACATGTCGGCAAACGGCCGGACTCCATCAAATCCGATGGAGACGGGTTGCCGTGGCAAGAGTATATCGAACTCGCCGCGTGTTAGTTCGCTAGATACTTAGAAAACATACAGCAAAGTAGAGTAGTGAAAGGGGTGAAAAATGTCGGTAACGGACTCCGTCGGATCCAATGGAGACGGATTGCCGTGGCAAGAGTCCATCGGACTCGCCGCATGTCAATTCGCGATAGTCTTAGAAAATATACAGCAAGGTAGAGTAGTGAAAGGGGTGGAAAATGTCGGCAAACGGACTCCGTCGGATCCGATAGAGACGGGTCGCTGTGGAAAGAGACCATCGGACATCGCCCCGTGTCAGTTCGCGAGACACTTAGAAATATAAAGCAATGTTGAGTATAGTGAAAGGGATGGAAAATGTCGGCAAATGGCCTCCTTCGGATCCGATGGAGACGGGTTGCCCTGGCAGCATCTGCGCACTTTAATAATTTACCTGAACTTAAACTTTCACCAAATATCTCCGCCGATGAAATACGTCACAAATAAACTCCCAATCAACGAGTCAAGGTCTAAAGCCTTAACGATCACCGGAAAGCGCCTGGCGTCTAAGATCAATAATGAACTTGTTGTCACAGTTGAGGACAATAGGCTCGTAAATGGAAAAAGTCCAACACTTTTAGGTTTAACAATCGATAGTTCACTCTCATTTGATTGTCATGTTGAAAATCTTTGCAATAAGCTTGCCTCGCGCATAGGTCTTTTGAGTATAATCAGGCCCTTTCTGTCACTTGAACAGCGACTGTTGCTCAACAATGTCATTATTCGCCTAGTAATGAGCTATGCTGACGTCATTTGGTCATCATGTGACAAGGAACCACTTTACAGAGTCTTGAAATTACAGAAACGTGCATCTAGAATCATTTCATATTCCGACCATCTAACACCCTCTCTGACACTTTCTATAAGCTGGGATGGATACCTTTTTATGAACAGTAAAATTAACAAATGTGTTATTTTTTAGAAGCGCGTAAATGGCTCTCTTCCGAACTATCTCAATGAACACTTGACGATTAACAATACACAACATAACAGAAGCACGCGGTATGCTAGCTATAATTCTATCTGTCCTTATTATAAGCGTGACACTGAAGGAGGCCGTTCTTTTGCTGTATCAGCAACAAGACTTTGGAATGATGTGCCGCTAAATATCAGAAAGATAGACACTTAGATAATATTATGGCAACGTCGAGGATGTGGAGGGGTTGTAAAAAGAACGACTTTTTCATGTTTAACGCGCTTGTTTCGCCTCATGGCGTTAAGAACGAGGTATATTTCATTGTAGCGCGCTTGTTTCGCCTCATGGCTCAAAGAACGACGTAAATTTCATGTGTAGCGGCGTTTGGCTTAAAGAACGACGAATGTTACATGTGTAGCGCGCTTGTTTCGCCTCATGGCTCTAAGAACGATTTATATTTCTTTGTAGCGCGCTTTTTCCCCCCTCATGGCTTAAAGAACGACGTATATTTCATGTGTAGCGTTTGCCTCGCTTCATGGCTTAAAGAACGACGAATGTTACATGTGTAATGCGCTTGTTTTGCCTCATGGCTTAAGACGACGTATATTCCATTGTAGCGCGCTTGATTCGCCTCATGGCCTTAAGAACGACGTATATTTCATTGTAGCGCGCTTGTTTCGCCTCATGGCCCAAAAAACGACGTTTATTTCATGTGTAGCGTTTTTCTCGCCTCATGGCTTAAAGAACGACGGATGTTACATGTGTAGCGCGCTTGTTTCGCCTTATGGCTCTAAGAACGACCAATGTTACATATGTAGCGCGCTTTTTTCGCGTCATGGCTTTAAGAATGACGTACATTTCAAGTGTAGCGCCCTTGTCTCGCCTCATGGATGAGAGATATTTTCGCGAACTGACCTCGGGGGAGTTCGATCGACTCGTGCCAGGACGAACTGTCTCCATCGGATCCGATCGAGTCTGTTTGCCAATATCTTCAATCCCCCTCGCTCATGTTAACCTCTTACTTCCGGTACCACCAGTCAAGCGCCATACGGCCATTTCCGGTTCCGGTCGCAATAGGACTCAATCCGCCTGCTGGTGAAGGTAACCCGACTCAGGTCAGGTGTATTGGACATGTGTGAGTAAGTTTTGGCGGCTTTCTCTTTTTTTTCCTCGTTAAAAGGATCGACCGCAGAATCGAGAACAAGGTCGTTGCGCGGACGGCGCAAAAATTCCTTACCTTTCTCGGAAACTTTATATTGTCTCCACACCCTGTTAAACGAGTCGCATCTAGTTATGTTGAAGTTGATGTCTACATACTCTAGATTTACTGACTTTCGTAACACTTTTGACCACCAATCATCGGAACATTTCAGCCTCATTAGCTCCGAACCGGTAGAATAGGTACGAGACTTTTCTAGAAGCGTCTGCATTTCTGGTGTCGAGAATTTCTCTCTCTTACTTCCTTTAATCATACGATTAACTCTTCCTCTCTCACACCATTCTGATATTTTATCAGTTTTCCAAAGTAACTCGCATCAATTAAAACCGTAAGTCTGTCAAGTTTTCTAATTTGTACAAGGTTTATCAAAGCACCACTATGAAAAGTTTGAGTCATTCAAGCTTTCATTATACATTTAAAGTTTAAGAGATTCCACTGTTTTCAATTACAACTAGTTTTTCCATGTGTTCGCTGGAAGTGTCCTTTCAGTTTTATAAAAAACTTTTTTTGTTGTTTGTATTTCTCTAGTTAAGTTTAATTATTTACATCTCCTAGAATCATGATGTGTCAGTCTTAGCGTGCTATTCCTCGAAAGTCGAAAAAGGTCGGACAGTGTAAAATTATATAGTTGGTAAAAAATATTGGATGTACGTTGAATTATTTGGGTTCTGCCTTTCAGATGGCTGAAATCCATGATGCCATGGAGTTGCTCCGTATTGAAGTAGAGAGAGGGAAGAAGACCCAAGAGACGAAGATAGAGAGAGACGGAGAAGAGAAAGGGAGAGAAGCAGACATGAGGACAGAACGGCGCAGAGAGACAACTGTCCAACCGCGTCAACCCTTACGGCAACCTCCACGTCAACCTCCACGTCGTCCCAGTAAGTAATCTAAACTGCTTCCTACCGTTGGATACATTTTTAACCGTTTAATTTGGTTTTCCCAAGTCTTATTCGCCTATTTTTCAAACTTAAAATACATGATATAGCATGGCGCATTAACATACGAAACATCCCTTCGAGTGTTGAATATGTCTCGGGAGTGCGAGCAGTGATCGAGAGAAATATTGTTTTTCCCTAAATTAAAATTAATTACACGCAAACGGACAAACAGAAAGGAAACGTAAAGGGAACACCGAACCATTTCATTTGCGTACGAATTACTTTGTAACCATAGCGTTGGCATTCACATGTAAAAATAACATGTTACACATGTCACATTTTTGCGGGAGGTCTTCTAGTGATTCACTCCTATTTGTTTAATGAAAAGGACATGGCCGCATGGAGATACAAGTGACCCTCTCTTAATGAAATGGCAATCCATGTTAATTACGTTGCAAAAGACACGACTGTTATTCAATCGTAGAGACTATGTAATTTTCATGATTTCGCGCGAAGGGTCACGTGGTTTTTACAGCTATTATTATAACAAAAGTCTTTATTTCCTAGCAGAGAAATGTTACAACCGTGGAGCCGTAGGCCATATTCGGGCTCAATGCCGAAGACCCAGCCGTCGGGATAGAAAAGAATACAAAAGGGACAGTGACGTGGTGATATTCATTACACGTTGGGCAGACTTTTATTCGGAAGCTAGCCAAATTATTTTAGGCATTGTGACGGTTTATCCATGAGGACAAGAAACACTGTACAAAGTTCTAGTTTTTGTTCCCCACAGGTTCGTTGACAGTTGCAGTCGTCTGCCTAAAGAAAATATTTGTGCTAACAAATAAATGTAACTATTTCAAAACCAAAGGAGTGACTATTTTTTTGGCCTTTTTATTCTCCTATCCATTTTTTTTTACCAGTTCACAAAGCAACAAAATCTTGATAAATAAATAAAAATGATGGAAATCAAAGAGATGAATCTTACTCATGAAGTTTACATCAGACTTTCTGAGATCAGGATCTTCGATCCTCTCGAATAGAGAGAGGAGCGAAAGTGAAACAATCAAACAAGATTACTCTCTTGATTGCTCTAAAATTCAAAGAAAGTTAGCCCGCTGAAACTACGAGCAGTCCCTTTCTTTCAAGGAAGATCCATAATTACAGGGAACTCTCGAAGTGAGGCCCACATTTCCTGCACCTAATTCCCAGTGTTACGCGCGGCGCGCTAGCTTCAATTCCTCTTTTGCTTTTTTTTTATTTTTGTTCCACCGAAAAGTAGGGACTGCTCGTAATCTATTGGTCTAAGGACTTTTTTTAAAGAATACATTAAAAAAAAAAATATATATATATATATATAAATGAATGTGGGGGTACACTGGCATAAAGTGCTCAATGCTGTGGTAGCAGAGCTAAGTATACATAAGTTAAAGAATTAAAGAGGACGCGTCGATTCTCTGTGACTCTGAGTTTCGCGCCTAAGCGCTCGTCGGACAGAACTTTTCAGGCGCGAAACTCAGAGTCACAGAGAATCGATGCGTCCTCTTTAATTCTTTAACTTATGTATACATATATATATATATATATGGAAAGGAAAAAAGAGAGAACCACAACCGCAAATATATGCTTTTTTCGCAGGCCTAAGGAGAGTAAATGTTTTCCGGGGGCATAGAGATTGACCAAATTGTTCACGGGTTTAAGATTTGTTTCTTTCTTGTTTGAAAATAGAAAAGGAAACGAGCAAACCGGATCCATCTTTGTATCGACGAAGAGCAAAGAATAACAACAAGAGAATTTCTATTCTCTTGATAACGGCAAGTCAGTTTACAATCTCTTGATAACGATTAAGATTGACACGTAAGTTATTCTTAAGAATGTGGCGAAGAACCTGGTCATAGGCCATAGAAAGCTATCACACAAAAAGGAAAAACAAAACGCACACGTTGTCGAAGGAGAGATTTGAAAGCACAAATACAGGCATGTGCATTTTCTACGATGAATCTTTCAAATTCTTGAATAGAAACAGACCAAAAGTCAGCAATATACTACACTTCTGTAGATACCTAATGTCTAATCATGGTCTTTTTTTGCGCGTGCGTTTAGGCGAGTGCAAGGGACTCGTTTGCTTCGAGATTTGCATCGTGCAAATCCACAGATATACTCTGTAGCCCAACTTCTTTCTGCGTGTCAGGCGCATGCGTGTGTGTGTGTGTCTGCGCGTCCATTTGCTCGCGGGCGTAATACATCGCTACTTCGTGTTTCGTCTCTTGTAAATCTTCCAACATGGTTGTCCACTGATCTCCTGCCATTGTAAGAAATCTCATCGAAGCTATATCATGTAAAACGCTGGATATTCTATACTTCTCTCTCGGCGTGAATGGTTTTGTACCAGGCTGCGCTGAATCGTCTTCTAAACCATCACCTTCCAACGTGTGATCAGCTCCCCTTTTGATTCTCTTTCGATTTGCACTGACTGTGAAGACCAGTATCCCGGATAACACTTCACCGAGGCGATAACACGTTTGAACCGCCCACCAAGACCAAGCGTCAATATACTTCACATTGGAATAAATTCCAAAAACTCCAGCGCTGGAGTAGATAAACATGACAGAAAGGATAAGATTATTGACACCTGAGGCGTATATTAATCGGATGTAAAGCAATGCTCTTTTATCTTTGACTTCCAAGTGACCGTAAAGCTTTTTATCGAGTTTATATCCAACGACAAAGTAGCCAACACCAAGAACTGTGCCCCACACTATGAAAAATATCTGGCAGAAAAGAAGCATGGCTTTAGCTTCGATAAAGCTCGCCACGACAAATTCAGTCGTCAACACCAGAACAAAGTGCATTACGATGATTTTAAGAATAACACCGAATTTTTGCATCTTTGGAGGAGCCAGGGAAACTTTAGCAGTTTCGACCAGAGCAAGAATGACTAGACAATCGGCCGAGGTAAGACACGGACCACCAAGCGACCACAAGAGACGCATCGCAAACGTGTTGTGTATTAGGTCTCCTTGGTGATATGGATCTGTAAACAACACAAACATCCGAGTAAAGCCCAGAATAAACATCATGGCGTTTAAACAGAAGCCAAGGTACTTTTGCTTTAGCCCTGTGTACAGTCCAATCACAATAAAAAATGCAGAATAAAGAGCATAACCCAGAAATATTAACGCAAAGAAGTAAACATGAAATTCCCAGGCTCCGCCCCATTCCTCGAAAGCAATTGACCACTCTGGGCCGGCCTCGGGCCAGGTCTCAGTCGTGGCTTCCACCTCCGCATCTGGATCTACTGCAAGAGGTTCGGACTCAGCTGTCGGTAACAGAGATGGACTGGATACCTGTCTGGCAAGGATCTGCGAATGCTTAGGATTTTCTACATTATTTTTCCTGTCTCTTATGCGTTTAGTAAATGGAGAATCGCCCGTTGGTGCAGTGGATGATCTTTCTTGATCTTGAAGCCTTGGTCGAAGTATACGCCTCGGCTGCCTGCATTGACTAAAAGAGGCCAACATCAAAAGGATCTGAAATTGAATACAGCTATGGTGTTAAAATATCCAAGAGGTAAAATAATGTAACATCTATTGACTCTTATTATTTTGTATAATAACCCTTAACATATGACAGCTTCTCATTAAAATGCAAGTCGTTTGAAAGCCAGGTAGCGCTGATTCAGCTCTGAAATTACATAATTGGTCGTGATTTTTACTGAAGAACAGCATTCATTGCAGGGCTAAATTTCGTAGGATATTTTCTCACTGTTAAGTGAAACAATGATCTAGCTATAATATGGCACTACCACCGTTTTCAAGTGCAAAACTGCTGGAATCAACAGATTGTAGAGCAATTATTATAATTCTGTTTAAGTAGTTGTATTTCACGAATTTCACGCGTACATTTTCTGCAACTGGCAAACCAAAAGAACAATCAAGTTTCTTACCACAAAACCAAACCATATTTGACCACTTCTCATCACAGTTTTACTCAATTACAGTTACTTCCTATATCATTGGATTTAACGGAGTTAAAAAAGACACGAGAGGCTTCAAAATTAAGTTGACTATAGTGGCAGAGCTCAGCATCTTGACGTCATAGACTGTTTACTACGTCATAGTTTTAGAGTACTAGTCTTTTTATTACGTATTTCATGTTTAATGGCGCGTGCAAACACAGTCGGCTTTCTCAAGGCGCTATGCTTCAACCAGTTTGAAAGAAAATCATTCATTAGTCTGAAAATGATTTTCAGGCTAATATAAATTGCTTCAGCAGTAGTCTCTGTGGATGAATTTTACCAATTACAATGATTTGTATGGTAGGAATAAGATTTGCACCCCATTCCCGCTGTTATGATTTTCATACAAATTACTGAATTTTCTTTGCTAAATTTTCAAATGCTGTAAAAAAACGCTTCTCCTCGGAATTGAAATTCTGAGAGGCAGTGGATCTCGCGGGAATTTGAAGCTCTCTTTTTTATCCATCCTACACGCTAACATATATCATGCACGTTATGCACGTCATCTGCGCGTCTAGCGCATCACATGAGTATGCAAACCCGTCTATATGCAATTGGCATGGCCCCAGTCCTTCCTTTGGTCAAAGGTACACTATAACTTCATAAGAACATCATACGAAATAAATAAGGAGTATCAAAAGTATATCTCGAAGGGAAGGTTGCTGGTAACAGAAGCAGAAGAGAATAGTGAAAGAGGTGGCTTGGCGACATATCTAACCTGTCTAACCGGTCTGGTCATTACTGCATAACTCGATTTTGTCTCCTTATGATGCCACCCAAGACCGTGAACTCTGGAAACTGATAGGTCATGTGAACGCTCATTCTGCCACAGGGGATAATTTTGTAATAATGACTCACTAACAAAAGCAGTGAATGCTTATGCGGTATGGCAATAAAACCGGATTTATTTGGTTGCATGTGGTACAAATAACCCATCGCAAAGCACTGCCTTCAATTAAAGATGCAGATGTTGGGCGAAGAGATAAGTATGCTCAGGAGACCATATCATTTGTATTTACATCATCAAAAAATTTTTTGGGAAATCATTAAAATTTCCACCTTCTGATTTCAATTAGCGTAAAATCTTTTGAAATGCGCTGAAATTTGCTTCAGAGGCCGCCATTTTGAATCTTGCTTAGCAACTTGGTCGCCTACCTACGACCTGATTTGAGTCTCAATACTCTTTTTCTATCCCTTGGTAAGGTGATCTATTCAAACAATCAGAAACCATACATAGGGACACATTTTAGTCAAAACATAATTTTTCTAGGCACACTACCGCCATGGGTGTGCTGCAAGCCTACTGAATTGCGTTCAATTCGTTTGAATCTTTAGGGCACCTGAGAACAATCTTCGAAAGGTTAAGTAAATCATCGAAATCTCGAAAGGTTGTGAGTAGTAAATTTTTGTAGTATGATTTGTAATCATATGGTTACTGGGGCATAATTACCCTTTAAAACGACTTGCTAGAATTCCATTTTAACCCTGATAAGTGTAATATCAAAACTTTGCGCATAGTATTCATGTAGACAACAGGATACGCATCTGAAGCCCTAGCTTAAAAAATTCTCACAGTTGTAATGTTATTTTCGTATGACAAAAAATCGATCAGTGCAGAAAAACCTTGCCAGCCTTCCTGTTACTTAATGGTGCGTATGGAAAAAGAGATTTGATTTTCTCGATCATCATGTGACCTTTGCCCTCCGAGAAGAATCGTTTATTGTTCAGTAATTTTCTTCCGTGTTTGCCATGTTTGGAAGTGTTGTTTCCGGCCATTTACCCCAAGTATTTCCAGAGTTTTGTCTCTTCGAGTCAATCTCCTTGATGCTAGTTTCTCCAGAATTATCAGTTTGGAATAATGGCTTTAGCCGAGTCATTTTTCCGGGTGGAAAGGCCGTGTTACGCGTCTTTTTAGCGTCGTGAAGAGCTGTAAACATGCTCGCTCTTCTTGATTGTACGCGTCTTAACTCAAGTTCTAAGTACTCCTTTTCCACTTCCTCGCCATCGCTCCCTAAGTCGTCAGTTGTGTTTACATGTGGATGTATTTTCGTTTTCCCAGGCAGATGAATTACAGACGAAGTCGTTTTTGTTTCTACCCAACATTCCCCATTATCTTTCATTGGGGGATCCAGATTTGTCCCGTACCAGTTCTCACCGGTCGCAGCCAGAGCCATTTCACGGAGAGCTGTGAATAGGCTTATTGCACTCCCACTGTTTCTGTCAGCGGCGACTTTTTTACGCTTGAAGCAATTTCTGAATCTTGAGGACCACGATAAAGATTGCGTAGAACCGATTCCTCCCGGGATGATTGTGTCTAAGCTTTTTTCATCCGTTAACTGAGCGACTGCCTTTTTCACTCGGGTCCTTTTAGCACTAACTGTGAATATCAAGACACACGCGAGGATCTCGCTGAAGCGAGACATCGTTTGCAAGGCCCACCAAGGCCATGCATCTACAAATTGAACATCTGAATAAACACCAAATACTCCGCACGCTGAATAAACAATGATTGCGCATAAAAAGTAGTTTGCTAGGCCGGAGGCGTAAATAAGATAAATGTATATTTTGTCCGCTGTTTCTTTTGGTTTTTTGTGACTGAAAAGTTGTTTATCCAGTTTGTATCCAAGGATAAAGTTTATAGTTCCAAGCACAAAACCCCACGTAACAAAAAACAACTGACAAAATAACAACATAACTTTCGCTTCCACATAGTCGGCAACTACACAGTCTGTAGTTATTACAAGTGCAAAATGAAAGCTTATGATAATAATGTTTGTGCTTGCTTTCTGAAGCTTAGGAGGTGCAACGGAGATTTTTGCCGTCTCTATCAGGGCAAGAATCATCAAACTGTCGGAGGCCGTGAGACAAGGGCCTGCGAGGGACCAAATCACGCGCATCACCGCAGTGTTGTGAATTATACCCCCTTGATGATATGGGTCCAAAAACATGACAAGGGCCCTCGTGAACCCAAACATCGACACCATGATATTGAGGCTCACGCTCAGGTATTTTCCTTGCAGACCGTCATAAACGTTAGCTATGACGTAATATCCGGCGTACAAGCCAATCAAAAGGTATATCGTCGCGTAAAGGTAAACATGTAGCTCCCAGGCCCATCTCCACGTCTCGTATGCTTGTTCCCAACGGGGGCCTGGTTCTGGCCAATTTTCCGGCGTTGGCGACGGTTCAGTTTCTCCTTCTGGATATTCTGAGGTAGGCTCCGTGTATGAGTGATTTTCACTACTGGGTTCTCCTTCTGCTTTGGATTCTCCTTCCGCTTCAGGTTCGCTTTCCGGTTCGGATTCAGGCTCTGCCCTAGTCTTCCTCGGTGCTCGCTCTGTCAAATAATGGAAACTTTCAAAAAAGTACATTGGTCGGCTTTAAAATACACTCAAAACGAATCCTAAATTAAGTCATTTTAACTCTTATCCTGCGGCAAAGAGTAAGGAAGAGAGAAAGAGTTGCAGGCCACACAAACAGACAGACCTAAATAGGTTCGAACGGACGGAAGGAACGATAAACGGACACCGTAATCGATAAGGAAGAAAAAGAAAACGAATAGGGGATGCTTATATTACATCCCCCATCTGATGTTTTCCACAGAACAAACCACTATATTCTAATTTAGGGAGCACTCAACTTAGGTTTCCTATTTCTGATGAATCTTTCGATATCAATGGTTGCCACTCGGTATGAGACCTTTATAATTTACGATCTGGTTTAATTCTTCGAAGAAAGTTCTTGTTTTATAATTGCAACGAAACCCAAGAAAATCACAAAAAAGTAGCCTTGCTTCAATTTGAAACAGTGGCTATATACGAAATTATACTTCACTTTTCAAAATTTTGATAAAGAGAGCGCTGATAGAACGATTCCTGGAGTTCAATATTGTCTTCCCTGTGGTCTGCCAACTACCGGCCCACCACTTGAACTAATTACCTTAAATATAAATATCATATCTTACCACCTATGAGGTCTAACTAAAAAAATAGACAGAAAAACCTGAATGATATTGAGGGGACATACCAACCTTCATTCTCCGTCTTGAAGTCTGTCTCGGATATAAACATTCCTTTTCCGCCGGGACTAAATTTGACAACGCACAAAAGAATCTACATAGAAAAAGATAAAAAAAAAAGTTTTTTTTATCCGACATAACAGCTGTCAGTTACAAAAGCTGACTGTTTCTTGCTCTCGAATTTGAAATGATGTTTAACGATATACCGCATTTATTCAATCGAGCCCTGCGGGCTTTTTAAAATTTTAGATCTTGAAAGTGGGCGCTTTGTCGTGGTGGGTCCTTATATTTGAGGCTGTGCGCTGACTAAATTTACGCCATTTTCAAGAAATAGTGAGTTTATTTTGCAACTAAACCAGAAGTACTAACAAAGCGTGAGAATGTCACAAAATAGAATTTAACCATTCCTTTAGAAGTTTATTTAAATTTATAAGAAATTTCGGTATTAGGTGAGATATCTTGATGGCTTTTATTCAGTTAATAATAGAATTTCATTGTTTCTAAGGTCAGTTGGGAAGTGGATGCTCATTCAAGGTGGGCGTTTAATTAAAAATATGTGGTGTTAGAATCGCAATGAATTAATCACGGAGCCCACGTTAAGTTACGCTTACAGAATTTCCAATATAAAAAGTCGCAATTTTTCGACATGAGCGTTCTGTTAGCTATGTGAGGTATTTTTGCGGCATCTATTGAACAGTAAAGTAAAACTGAAAATTTCTTTACATCAGTGATTTTTGTTCGGTAGTTGGATGAAAAATTTTAAACCCAAGTACAAAGCAAATGGGAGACGAGTTGAAACCGATATGACCATTAGCTAAGATGTGCTTGCATAATTCCTTTACATCAAACGATATCTCGATTGATATTCGCGCAACAGAGGACTTTTGCATAGCCTCATCTAAACTCTAGGAGGGTTGGGAAAATTCGATGAGCTATATAACTTTCATGGGTTTGCATGACTTTCCCAAACCTGAATTTTTTTAATCTACCATTGCTTTAATTTTATTAAATATTTTTGATAAGAGAGAATAGAAAGTGTGACGTGACAACCGTGTTTACATACTCTTATATCAATACACCCTTAGACCAAATTAATGAGAGCACGTATTCTATCTTGAATATTTCATAAGAGATCTTGTCCAAAGTAAGAAGAATCAAAATTTGAATGTGATGATGAATACGTAAATATTGCTATAAAGGTTTGTCTTTGTCCCTTGTGTGTCTGTTTGTAAGTTTCTGCAAATCATGAGACTCAAAGCTAGGTTCCGTTTTCGGTATGCAGAGCAGAATTCGAGCGAAATTTAGGTGTCAGAGCAGCGTTAGTACTTGGTTCCGCAGCAGGAAACGCTAGGAGTCCTAGCAGGCAAAATAATGTTCCCTTTCCAGAAAAAATTAAATCAAACTTATAGTCCCGCACGCAAACCGTTAAGCCAGAGTAATCAAACTTTTATTTTTTTTAAGAGGATAAGTTACAAATTTGACTGTAATAAAACAATATAGTCTATGTTAGCGTGCATTAGTAAGTTTAGAGCTCGACTCAGTGCCCAAAGCATATTTATGTCCAACACCAAAGTGCTGTTACAGCAAAACAGCCTATAAACGATCACGCGAGTAAAAAGGCTAAAATGCATTTTAGGCCAACAAAATGCGAAATTTTAGCCAGCGAAAAGAGTTGACGACGTGATAGTTTTTCTGGGAGGCTTAAAATTCTGGATATTTTTTGAAAGGAAACTAAATGAAGAAGTCATAACTGTAGAAAACTTGGTGGGACTCTTTGTTTTAAGCATGATTAAGTTCTCCTAAGATCGATACCCTCTCACTTATCTATGTTTTGTTTTACTCAAATTTTTTACTTGTTTTGTTTTTTTTGTTTTCTTTTTCTTTATTAAGAATTTTTTCTGTTGGCATACTTAAATTTTCCGGAGCTCCTACTTCCAGTGAGTGTCGAATATGTTCACTCAGCAGTGTACCTGCTGTTATGTAACTTAATCAGGAGACATCGAGTCTACGAAAAGTAATTAGGGCTACACCCAAATGGCTCAAAGAAAACTTCATTGTATTTACTTCTCAATTCAAATTCAGTTTTGTGAAACTTTGAGAAGAGTGCGTGGGCCGAATGAAGTGTGGTGTTAAAAGCTTGAAGTGTATTTCAAAAACTCTCCGCGATAACATGATCTGCAGATCAACATTGGTGTTTTTAAACCTCCGCACAAATGAGCTAGATTTTCAAATTGTTCATCTGCAATCCCTTTTAATCCTTGTTATCCACTGGCATTTGTTTTCCATTTCTTTTTTGGTGTCCATTTTGGTGTCTTTCTCAAATCAATTGTTTTGGCATCTCTTCGCTTTAATAATAATTTTCCATTTCGGAAGAATACGTCTATATATATATATAGATTCTATATATCCTTCTTAAACAAGATTCTAAAAAAGCGACAACTTCTCTAAAGCTGTAATAAATCATTGTGCAAAATACCGCCAGAAATTAACTAAGCACAGGAAACGAAAAAAATTGTGCATTTTCCTGGCAATTGAAAGCATTAATCAGACTCTTTGTAACAGCTGCCGTCAACCGCTACAATAATAAGGAAAAACTGTTTCAAACGACCTATGTTTTATATCACACAAAAGTCTTACCAACATTGATGTAAGAGTTAAATTCATCTCGGTTAAGACCATTCTTCATCAGAGTAGATAATGCTTCTAGGGATCTAAAATAAATACAAAAAAATATTATTATGCAAGAAAAGAAAATAATTTAATCTGTGGCTATGCCGGCAATATCCATGATAACAAACTGATGAAAATCCGAAAACAGAACTTGATCTGTTTTGTAACATTTACCCCGGATGTCGAAGGATCCAGTGTTACAAGTAGCACCGATAAGTTCAGATATGTGTGGGCTTCTTCTGAAATCTTCGGGAAAGGTGTAAAACTTTGTTTGTTTCACAAGAAAAAAACTGTGACTGCTAATTTCTGGGTATAACTGTCTGACCCGGCGCTCTGCTTCTAAAGCAATTTGAATATCATGTACCATCTGCCGTTGCTCTAAATAAAAAATTCATGTAAATAAGAGGGGTTCTTCTGGTCACTAAGGCAAATATCCTTAGATTGTCACAGGCGCTTTTCTTGTATGGCTAAAAGGCCCCATTCAAAGACATAATACCAAAAGTAATTTCATTTAAAACGAAATCATTGTTTAGTATAACTCACACAGAGCTGCTTATATTTCGCTACCTTTCTGATCATTTCAGAAACTGTAAATAAAACTAGGGATGAAATTTAAATTAGATTTTTTCCACATACAGCCAAGTGGTGGGCTCATTTTAATAATGAATAGGGAAATAGGAAAAGCAAGTAAAGCTGACACTGCCAGTTAAACTCTTGACGCTACATCAAAGCTAGAAACCAAGTTAACGATAGAGGTTTAATGAAAACTGACAGCGTATTATGTGTATGGAGAAAAATAAAAATCATTTGGAAAATTATAAGCTTATTCTTTTCAAGTTAAAGACATCCTTCTAGAGAACAATGAAAGTAGTACCAGCCTTATTAAGAATTCCAATAATTTTTCTCTATTTATGATAACATTGACATGTCCTCACAGAAAGAGAAGTAAAAATACCTTATTAACACATGCGCGATACGGTGAATCGAAATGTAGCCTCAACAAAATTACCATTCAAAATTACCATTCAACAATGCTCATTTCTTCATCTTAGAAGACCTATTTTATTCCACTATACAGCTACTGTACGTGATGTACTAAAATATTTTGATCTATTTACTCAAGCAAAAACTGCCGTCTTCATATACATGACAAAAAAAACATCAAATCGTTAGCATCCGCTCTATCAAATGATGACATCATGTTTTTGACAGTTCTTCAAAGGTAAATGAGAGCTCTTTGCTGTATTCATTAACTATACTGGGCCGTTTGGACGTCTCTTGTTGTTACCGAACTTATTTGATTAAATGCCCTGAACGGTTGTTAAAGTTCTGAACCGTGAGAGTAGGCGCTTATTCGAGGCTGAGTGCCTCTTCAATTTTCACCATTTTCTTCTAGTAAGTTTATTTTGCAGCAAAACTATAGATAATAACAGAACTTGAAGATGTTCATGGGAAAGTGAATTTAGAGATTGCGAGCCAGTAAAGTAAATAATACTCCTCTGGTGCACTCCAGATTATTCGAAGCTGAGCGCTCTTTAACTTAAAATTAGCTATCTAAAGGGTGGGCGCTTTTAGAGGTTGGGTGCCTGACCGAAAAAAAGGTAAATGAAGCACTTATTATATAATCCTATTTACTTCCCTCTCGGACAGTTAGTGATAAACACCAAAGAGGACAAGAGAATTAGTGTAGGAGCGTAGATTGAGCTTGAAGACATGATACTAAACGCTGGAATCCACCCTGAACGAAATATCCAGTGGACAACCAAACAGTATTCATCAAAAGAAAATAATGGGACGGGAATTCATACGGTTATAATTTAATTGCGTTATTGCAAATCGCTTTACGTTTTGCATACATATGCTGCCTTTAACTCACGCTAAATGAAAAACCTCCGTCCTCTTTCAGTGAGCCTTGATCGCCTGCGAGTTACATCGATAAATTGGCGAACAGCGAAGATATCGGTTTCTTGAATTGAAATTCGGAAATAATAAACTTCTTTAGGAAACAACGATGCAGACGTCAGGAGTAAGACTTCCCTTTCCGCCCAAAGCTAAAAATAGCCCGATAAATACCGGCCAACGCCATGACTTTCCCTTACTGTTCCCTCGTTTTTCCATTCATATAATCAGCGAACAAAGATATTTGCAAAGTCAAATGAATGAATAAAAGGTAGGAATGGGTTTTTAAAATCTTTCATCCGACTCACAACAAAGCAATAACGATGTGAAAGGCATATTTGTGGCGATTAAGGGGGGTTAACCAGAAACGGTACGTGAGTTTACACGATCCTTCTTTTCAAAAATACAGCTCAAATTTCTTTTGCTTTTTTAAATGACCTTCCTCTTACTGAGTTTAAACTTTGCCCATCAATCTTCGAAATTCTTGTGTCATTAGTTTTTGTGACGTTGAGTTATATGTAAATTTAGCCATGAAATTGATTTACACGGAAACGGTTCTATGATTGAAACAATGTTATTTGGTAAAACATACCTGGTCGATTTTGCTTAATATTGTGGCCTCATTGTATAAACTTCAGCGTATTTTCTCAACTTTCCTCGACTATCTTGAAAGCTCTTCGAATTCAATCAAAGTATTTGCGAAGAGGTAACTCAAATCAGACAAAACATAATCAAATCCTCAGTGGCAGGAGGTAAACATCCAATTGGCCATCAAAAAATGTACATTATAATGGCGCACAAACCATGAATAAATGGGTTACCACTCGTTTCCCGTTTCATTTTTCTATTTTTGTTGGTAACAGGCTTTTAGGGCGAAAGCTGAGCAAACCCTGCCAGAGGGAAGGGGAGGGGGTTTGCGCTGAACCTATAGTAATGCACAGTTGACCAGGAAGACAATCCTCTAGTCTACCTTCTCAAGAGGGTCTCAAATTTTAACCGTTAGTCGTTAAAAAAAAGTTAACCTGAAAATTTTTCCTATTAATTGTAGCGGAAAGAAATTAATCGTAAGACCCATCAGCCCACTGAGACCCTATCGTAACTGTGTACAAAACAGATAGCGATGAGCATATTGACAGAGTTTTATTTCCTCATTTTTTAACCGAAATCTCCGGTTCACCCGCAGTTCTGAACTAATCTAGGCAAAACAAATCATATATCGCTAGACTCGATATTTTGTTTTGAAGAGCAAATTGTCTCCAAACTTCTTTTACTATCCGCGCTTTTACTAAATTTATCCATCTGTATCGAGCTTATTGCGAGCACAGGCACGGTCGAAACAATAAGAAAAGTTTGCATGAATCAACAAAGTAACAAGGATTTCACTCCATAACAGTACTCTGGAGGTTTTTCTCAGTACTGTTTAAGTGAAGCTATCAGACTTTCACACGTTGGGCTAACATCAATTTTTTTCGCTAAATTCTTTACTCGCGCGACGGACTTTGCCGTAAAGGAAGGACTGCTCGTAGTCTAATCCTGTTGGGGTTTAGAGCAACATTTCATTACGCCGGAGTAGTGCGCGCTAATGAAATAGCACTTCTTATCCGACACTCCTTTGTCTGCTACTTAGTTGATGTTTTGCTTCGGCGATATATATAGAAAAGAATATTGGAGAAACTGTGATCCACTGAAGCTCTGTTTTTGCTCTTGCCTCTGTTAATGCTTTTAAGGGTTTATCCACTTAAAAGTAGACAAATCCGGATAATAGAAAATTCTCTCCTGTTAATTGCAAATGATAAAAAAAAACGTTGAAAAAAAAAAGAATCGACTTGTACTGCTCAAAGGGCTGACACTGAAGACACAGAGAGTTCTTTTACGATTCATTTGTCGTCCTCTTGGGCCTAAATCTCTTTAATGAGAAAGGGACAATTTTCTGAAATGTTAATACCTTATTCATTGTATTTTTCAATCAAACTGGCCGTTCTATCTATTTTTCACGAGTTAAAATCGAACACTCGACAAGTTTTTGTAAACCACAAAAATTTCATGTCACTGTCGCTTATATATCAGCATAAATTTAGAGATAGATATCAAGTAATTATTTCTTTGTAAAGGATTCTCATCATTGTGTCGGACTTGCTTATTGAAACAAACAGTCCATGATTTGTTAGTTCAAATATCAAACACGAGTCTCAGGACTAATGGGAGTTTGTTTGCTGACTTCGGGGAAAAGATGAAATGAAATGCCACATTTTGCATGGTGACGTGTGAAAAATAACAAAAGAAAAACTGTTCAGAAACTATTTCTAACGGTGTGTTGTGGCAGGCGATAAAAACATTATAAGCTCCCAATATTTTTAATATTTTATCAAACTTAGCCTGATTTTCACTTATCATATATTCGAAGAGATTCATTCCCTCTCAGTCTGATGTCTCGGCTACCCCATTGCTGCCCTCATTTTATTGATACGTCTTAGAAAATATATGTATTTTTTTCAATGAGAAACTACACTGACTCGTCATTAAAAAAACAAAAACTTATTTAACCCACCTGTTCTGTTCTGGATGGTCTAAATCTTTCCTATTGCCTGGAGTTTATCCACTGGAAAGCGATAACTCCAACAATCGAATCACCAAACTTGTGGTCATCAGTCACATTAATTGTTCGTCGAGTGAAAACCTGTCGTCACAGACATCAGAGCATTTTCAATAAAAAATGCTAATGAGACGTTTGTTTAAAATATTTTTCATCGCTGCAACATTTCGGACTAGTTCTTGGCCTCTTTCAACTCTCTGAATCTTGCACTAATCAAAATTGAACACGGCAACAATTCTTTCAATCTCTCCTATCAGTCCGCTATCTTGGGTCGCTTTGTGAATGTCGTAAAAAAGAAATTGACATTCAAGGAAAATTAAAAATTATATTCCAAAGAAAAAAAAAGTGATGTAGGAGGTGAATGGACAGGTCACGATTGATTTCAATTTGTCATCTGATTGTTGCGAATGTGAATAGAGTAGGGAAGCAAAACAAAGACCACTGTAATCGCTAGTTACTTTTGACTTTCAATCATCAGTTGACAACTGGTCGTAACTCAGCCCTGTAAGACGGATGAACAAAGCGGGGATAAACTTTTAATAGGAATCTTTGTGCTGCGTCGGCGGGCAAATTGACAGCGAGTTCATTATCAGAGATCCGTATCTATCGTTAGCCTTTCTCCAAAGAACTGCACGTCCAAATATTTCTGCCGACTGCACGCCTTCCCTCCCAATTTCTACTTTAAATTCCGTATTTCTTGCGC